ATCCATTTGCCTCTCCCAAGGCCTTCTAGCTCTTCTCCAATGCCCATTCTGCGCAGGTATTGCTTCGGCCTCAATCTGCAGTTCCTCAAAGGCCTCGGAGAAGCTGTTCAGGTCCCGGCGCACGCGTGCTTGAAGAGAGCTCTCGAAAGGCACGACATCGGTGCCCCGGAGAGATACGCCAGATGTAGGAGTCGATGCGCCTGTCGTTGCGTCGATGATGGACTGCAGCGCCAGAGGCACATGCATGCCAGCCGCTTCCATCTCAAAGACCGTCTTCTTCGGCCGTGGTGCTGCTGTGCGCGCCTCTCCCTTCGCCTTGGCTTTCTTCTGCTTCTTCTGTCTGCGCTCCTCCTCGGATGTGTCGACATACTCCTCGCCATTGGCTTCTGCCTTCCTCCGCTCTTCTCGCCGCTGCTGCTCGCTCTTCTCAGCTACAATACCAACACCGCCTTTGGTGCCGCGCATGACCACTTGGATGGGCTCCGAGATACCCTCCCCTTCGCGACCCAGACCACCTTCACCCGTGTAGCCCATCTTGGCCAGCAGCTTTGCGCCAAAGCCCGACTTGAGTTTTGCGCTGCCATCGTCGAGTTTTGCTTTTTTCTTGGGTTCTTGTCGAAAGGTGCGCTTGCGCTTCTGGCCGTCGCCGTCGCCGTCCATGATGAAGTCGGTTGGAGTGCTGGCGCGTGGTATTCGAAGGATGGAGGCAGGACTGGATTCGGGTTTGGTCGCAGCCCGATTAGGCGAAAGCACGTGATGGGTACCAATTCACTCTGGCCAAGTGCGTATCGGCCTGTGTGGTCTTGTTCAGGCGCAGCGAGGCGTGTGAAGATTATTCTCGGTGCAGTCGCGCATCGTGAAAGCTGGGCGTGCCAAGAAACCGTTGTCTTTCTCGGAAAGCGGACGGCTACCCTTGCTGTTGGCGGAGGCTATTATTGGAAGGCCGACCGAACATGGGGACTGCTCGTCGGACATCCATGCATCTTTCGGTACAACTATAACGCGCTGTTTTCTCTCCTTTCCTTGCGCCGTAAGCAACATTCACTCTCGCAGTCCCACCGTCCTGCGTTGGTGTGTCTTGCCTGCGAATCTGCCCGTCTGCCCGTCTGCCCGTCATGGCCTCGCCGCCGCCCATGCCTCAGCCCCTTGCTGCCCGGTCTCCCGATAAGGCCAATGTCAACTTGCGCCATCCCATTCCGGATCTACAATCGCTACAGGGGGCTTACGTCGGCAACATTGAGCGACTGGAGGAACACGCCGAGCGCATGAGTGAATCAGGCTCGGATTTGGGAGAGGAGATTCGCAAGCTGCACACGGAATTGAAGCGATCAGACAGCCGCGACGAAGCCACACGCCACACGAGCAACCGCAGCCGCAACGTCTCCATCAGCTCACATGCAAACTCGATAGTGGATGTAAACGGCGCCGCCAGATGGGGAGGCTACTCGCCGGGGGGCTATGTGACATCACCGGCCGGCTCGCTGCGTTCCAACTCGTGGTCCAACCCCTCGGTGCCCGTGAATCGGCAGCGCTCCGAGTCCAAAGCATCACGGCTGGGGCAGGTCGTGCATCCCAACGAGATTGACGAGAGAGCAAACTTCGCCATGGCCCCAGGCTCGCCCGAGTCGTTGCGGTCTGCACCACTCGCCATCCACACCTCCGACTCGCCGCCGCCTCAGCCCGCCCGCAAGGTCTCCTCATTCACGCAAAAGTACGAGGAGATTGCCAACGAGCTGCGTGATGAGCTGCGGAACAGCGTCGTCCTCGACCCGCCCGTGCAGCATGGCGACGAGCAGCACTCTGAGGAGTATCGCCGGTATGCGACGCGGGACGACTACCCCGACCGACCGCCGACGGCAGCCTCGACCGACACCTCTCGACAAGCTCGCATGGAGTGGCAGGACTTTGACGGCGTGCACTGCCCAGACACGGTCCCAGAGGAGGAGGATGATCGCAGCCGACACTCGTCCTTCAGCAACAGCATGCTGAAGCTCAACGACTACACCACTGCAGGTGCACCACCCCCTGACGATGGCATGGTCTTCTACCCGGCACCGGTACCGAGACTCCTGAACCTGCCAAAGCGACTGTCGCAGCTGCCCGCATCCAACGTACAGGCACGACGACGCACACAGCTGCTCGACTCAATGCAAGCCGAGAACAGGAAGTCCGCGCCCATGCTCGGTGAGATGACAGCCGACGCCCCCAGTCCGGCCAGGAACAACCGGAAAAGCATGCTCAACCTCCCACCTCAGCTCCGAGCTAGCGCTTACTTCGACAACCAAGCTGCCCCGTCGCAGGAGTTTGCTGTTCAGGGCGAGTCTGCGCAGGACACCCTTGAAAGCATCTTGAATGCCTCTGCACGTGCCCCAGTTTCTGCCTTCACTGACCACCCCTTTTCTGGACATGTCGGACCAGAAGTTTACGGGCCTGAGCAGAAGCGAAAGAGTACCACTAGGCTTCCCGAAGTGCCGCCAACGCTCGCCGAGACGAGGAGGCGAAGCTCTTTCAATATGCTCGATACCAAGCGCAACTCTAGTGGTGATCCTCTGAACAAGCTAAGGAAGCGCAACAGCTCGGCTGACATGAACTTGCTCATCGTGAAGGCGAGTGAACAGCGGATGAGTCTCGGCGATCAACTAGACGATGTTTATGAAGACGATCGGGGCCCAGAAAGCCATGACGGTCAGGATCAGACACGCCACTCAATTCATGATATAGAAGGTCGTAACCCTGATGATGTGTATGATGAGGAGCACCAAAACGATGAAGAGCCCGAGCCAGAGGAGGTCGAAGAAGAGCCACAATACTTTGGAGCCCCCACCACATTGCTTGCCGAACTTCAGATGCGTAAAGCAAAGCAGAAGACTCGTAACATGAACTACGCTACCTTGGTTGAGCAAGGCAATATGCCAACGCACAGAACACTTCTCGAACTCGACGACATAGCTGAGAAGGAGAAACAAAAGCGTCTCAAGAAGAAGGTCAACCTGGCATGGGAAGCCCAAGGCGAAGATGACGACTCTGACGACGACGTCCCATTGGCTGTCTTGTACAAGCAGCCCCAGCAACATCGTGAAATAGAACGCCCACTGGGACTGATTGCTCGACGAGAGCTCGAAGACAAAGAACCACTAAGCTATCGCCGTGCTAGGCTACGTGGAGAAAGTCCCAACAGGCGAGGTTTGCGTCAAACACCGAGCCAAATGAATCTTGCAGTGCCCACAACCACCACACCAGGTCCCGAAACTGATGAAGAAGAGGGTGAGACGCTCGGTGATCGTATGCGTCGTCTGCGGGAGAAGAAAGAGCTCGATGAAGCCCTGGGCAACGACATCCGCAAGAGCACCATCAGTCTCGACTTCGCCACCGAAATGATGAGCAAATTTGGTGTATCCGAAGAACCAAAAGACGCATCCCAGCCAGCCCCATCCCCCGGGGTCGAAGAAGAAGAAACCCTCGGTCAGCGCCGCGCCCGCCTCCAAGCTGAAGCCGCCGCCCGCGGCGACGCCCCAGCAGACACCACCCGCCCCGGCCTGCGTCCCCGCATGAGCATGGCCGACATCCTCTCTGCCAACCCCATCGACGTGCACAACCAAGCGCGCAAAGTCTCGGACCAACAGCTCATCTCTCACCTCCCGCCCGGCAGCCTCCTGCAGCAAAACGTCGTCGCCGAAGAGCGCCGCAAGGCCGAGCGCATGAACCAGAACATGCGCGCCTCCAGCTTCGGCTCGTACGACCCGCTCGTCGGCGGCGCGGCCAAGAAAAACGACGATGACCAGCCGCTTGCACTGAAGATCCAGGCGTACAAGAATCGCATGGCTGGCATACCCGATCAGCGCGCTCAGAGCATGATGTTCAACAACGGACTTGCTACGCCGGTGCCTATGATGAACGATGGCCGGCAGTCGACAATGATGGGCATGAATGGCATGGGCATGATGTCGCAGCCGAGTCTGGGCATGATGCCCATGATGGGCATGTCGCAGCAGAACCTCGGTATGATGGGCATGCAGCCGCAGATGGGCATGCAGCCGCAAATGGGAATGCAGGGAATGCAGCCGCAGATGGGCATGGGCATGGGCGCACCGAGTATGATGGGCATGCCCATGGGCGGCATGCCAATGAACATGAACATGAACATGAACATGATGGGCATGATGATGCAGCCGCCCATGGATCCGCGCCAGCGAGACCAGATCGATCGCTGGATGCAGAACGTTCAGCACTAGTGTTTCTCGACCGCCCAAAACGGGCGTTGTTTGATGTTATCACATATATAAATCTGGAGTAGGCGCGTAGGCTTCTGGTATTTGCCTGGGATTGGGCATGGGATAGCGCAGCGTAGCATTTTCTAGGCGTTCTCCTGCTTATATTTCATCACGGGTGGGGGTAAATGAACAATCTCAGTCAGAGATTTATCGCAGCTTCTTCTCCGCGATATCCATTCATCCCCGATGCCTAAATCTTGAACGCGAATGTATAATGGATGCTCTTGCATGTTGTAGACGCGTCGTGGTATGTGTGTTTGCTTGTGAGCGATGACCGAAAGAATGCGCGATAAGCAGCCAAGTCATCATCATAATGATAAAGACAGCCAGAAAGAAGATCCAGCCGCCCAAGGATTTGAATTAAAAGGCTCCTTTTCGCGCCACTACAATGGCCAATCTAATATTGCAACACCCCCCCTCCACCCGAGGGAGAAACAGCTTAAGTACAAGAAAACCCCCCCATCTCTGCGCTGTCTTTCCAAACTTGCGCAATTTCCAGAAAGAGCCCTGCACACAGACGAGGAAAAACGAAGCGATGCCCGTCATTGTGAGAAACGGCGGTAATGAGGGAAAAAGGGAAAAGGTGTCGCTAGGAGGAAAACCGCTAAATGCATACGAAACCCATACCTATCCGTAGGCCTGAAAAAATACGAGGTAATCTTGTGAGACAACTTTCTTGTTATGCCAGAGTCTTTGCGAATGTACAAAGGAAATGCGTGGGGGGTGAGCGAGGCGAGGTAAGACATACAGAACGCCATTCACTTTGAAATGTGGGTTTGAGTGTGGTGCGGAAGGAGAGTGTGTAAATAGCACACAGGATTGTGTGTGTTGAGGTGCGTGTAGTCTTCGATTGGCAAATTCTATCCGATGGGGTGCTTCACGAGTGCTGGGTAACTGCCGGGTGCCAGATGTCATGTTGTGCTGTGTTGAGAAGAGTGGCCTGCGGATTAAGCGACCAGAACCTAAGGGAGTTGTCGAACAGAAAAAACATTTTGTCCACTCAGCAAAAGGTGTACCCCGGGCCGAATGCAGTTCCGGTCGCCGAGGTCGGTTGGGTGTTCCCAGCTTTCAACTTCAGTGATGCCCGCAGCGTCACAATCAGGCCAGCCATGCAGACTTGACGGTTTCGCTGTGATCTGAAGTTGCATGTGAGAGTATCTCGAGGATTCCGCTGCTGAGGGTCTGTGTCCAATTTGGAGTGTCAATGGTAAGAGGGATGAGTTCTGCGTACAGGATGTGTACATGGTTATCCTGCCCTGAGAACGGAATCAGTACGCCAAATGAGGGTCGCCCTGGTGGATCTGTGCCACTGAGCTGATCAACGACTGTCCCAACAATCTTCAACGCATTTGAAGCATATTTTCAGCTGATCATCGAAACTTTGCTTTGACATCCAACGTGTGCTAAAAGTTGGCAAGTCCGTTCTTCGAGTGCCGCTTGCTGAAGCGCTTCCTGCCCTTCATCGACTCCGCATCGCCATGATCCTTGCGCAAATGCCGAGCGGTCGGGATGTTGACTCCATCAAGTGCCGAATCCCCGCCTAAAGTGCTCGTCGGACTTGATCTTATTGACCCCAGCTCGTTGAGAGCGGCGTCGCCAGAGTACGAGCTCGCCATGGATTGTGATATGGCGATTTCTCGAGCGTTATCGATCATGTCAAGCCACTCTTGGGAAGAGTATTTACTGCCATCGGGATCACTGGTCGTGCTTTTGGTATCCTCAAAGACATATTGCTTGTCTCGCTAAAAAGTTATTAGTAAGAAGAAAGGGGCAGACATGGGCGATAGCACATACTGTTTCTATGAGCCAGGCTGTAAGGCCCTTGGAGTCTTGGTAGGATCTCCAAGCACAACCGGCCGACAAGAGCGAAACCTCCTCCTTCAGCTTCTTGTCGTTTGTTCCGGCAGCACACATCAAAACACGACCGCTCGATGTTATCATCACAAGTCTCTGTCGCTTCTTAACAGTACTACTTGTGAAGAACCGCGAAAATTTCTTAGGGGCTTCCACAGGCTCTTCCTTTCCGCCAAGCTGGTGACCAGGTGGATGATGTGTCACAAACATGTTGCCAAGCTTGAGGATTCTTTCGTCACGTTTTGAAAGCACTGGTGACCAATCGATGTCCAGTTGGCTTGGAGGTGGTAATTCGGTGATGAGGCGCGGCTTTGGTGGCATTTGCCTAGTCGCTTGAGTGGACGTTGCTGGTGTGGATGGGCCTGAAAACGTGTTATCAAATGGCGTCTCAAGATCGGCGCCTAAACTTACCATTGAGCTTGATGGGCTCTTGCGCTGGCGGACTGTAGGCCTTCAATCGTGGAGCCTTTTGTTTCCACAGTCCTTTGCCCCAAATGATGCCATCAAAGAAGGCATGGTTCTTGATGTGCTCCATTGGCAGACGCGTCAGTGGATCGAGAACAAGTAACCGTTCGACCAAATCTTTTGCAAGAGGTGGGAACCCATCGGGGAAGGTATAGTCCAGGCCAACAATCTTCTGAAATGTTTGGTACTCGTTCCCAGCTTTGAATGGAGGTCGCCCTGCTAGAAGTTGATATATGATGCAGCCAAACGCCCAGAGATCGCTCGCCTTGCACGCATTCTTGTCTGTCAGCAGCTCTGGTGAGACATACTCGGCTGTCCCGACAAAAGACTTGGCTCGATCCGACTCGGCACCCTCTAGCGGGTCACCGCTCGTTGAGCCAATGCCGTTGGCGTGCTTCTGTTCCAGGATCTTGGCAGTGCCAAAGTCGGTGATTTTGACATGCATTTGCTCGTCCAGCAAGACGTTTTCGGGTTTCAAGTCCCTGTGTATTACGCCTTTGTTGTGCATGTAGTCGATGGAGTCGAGTATTTGCGCACCGTAGAAACGTGTGCATTCAACGTCGAATGTGCCGATCTTCTTAAGGAACCCGAGGAGCTCTCCGCCAGATGCTAAGTCGAGCACAAAGTACAGGGACCGCTCGTCTTGGAACGTGTAGTATAGGCGGACAATGCCGGGATGCTCTGTGAGCCTGTTGAGGGTGTCTTTCTCGATGTTGACGTATTTGACCTTCTTCTCCTTTATGATGTGGCGCTTGTCGAGGACCTTGATGGCGTATTCTCGCAATGTCTGGCGGTCAGTCGCAGCGAGCACGGTGCTGTAGGATCCCTCGCCGAGCGTCCGTCCAAAGTTGAAGTCCTTGACGCCCTTCTTCACCACACGCGTCACGGGCCTGCCATTCTGGTCCATCTCCTGCCGTGTAGTCAGGGCTGCACCTTTTTCTTTCCACTCGTCGGTACTTGAGAGCGGACCGCCCTCAATGCTGTATGGTGAGCTGGAGAGCTGTGCGTGTGGTATATGTGGACCGTCCATGGGGATCCTCCGCGAGCTCCTCCGCGGCGGCAGTGGTCCGTTTATGGCGCTCATTTGCGCGGATTGGCGGTATGGGTCGCGTCTGCTGGCTTCTCGCGCGGGCATAGCACTCGGCGCGACTCTCGAGCTGCTGGTCCGCCTGACGTCGCCGGCCATTGCCTCGTCGTTGTATCTGTATGTGCCGGGCGCTGTGGTGGAGGTGCTGGAGAGGTTGGGGTGCTGGTACATGCTGGTCGACAAGGGCCGTTCGCGCATGGCCTGCTGCCCCTGGGGCATGGCATTCCGGGCCTGCAGCATCGGGGCGGCGGCATAGGGCGAGTAGGCGGCCTGGTGCTGCGCCTGGTGGGCCAAGGGCATCGACTGGCGGTGGGACAGGCGCGGTGAGTAGGACGACGAGGACGAGGCTGTCTCGGCTAGGGGAGAGGGATGGCCCGAGGGCGAGGAGCCGGGCGATGCGGTGCCAAATGCACTTGCATTGATCCCCAGCGAGCCCAGTGCGGGCTGCTGCTCTGGCAGGGCGAGCGGGGGGTCTCGCGACTTCTGCCGCTCGGTGACGGTACTCGACGACGAGGCTCGCGAGGGCGATGACGCCGGCCGGGGCGCTGCACCGTCGCTGTCCAGGGCCTGCGGGGGTGCGAGAGACGGCGTCGCGCTGTCTTCGTCGGGGTTTGCGATGCGTAGCCCGCCGAGGGACTGCGACAGGCTCAGGTCGCCATTCATCGTGGCAGCCAGTGGGCAGCTTGGGCGGGAAACGAGCGAAAGGTGACGGGTCGGAGCAGCAAGGAGACTGCCCGCAGCGCGTCGGGTGCGACGAGGTCAGAGTGCGGGACAGAGGCGGGCAGTGGAGGCATGGGGACGCCCAGAGGCCAGTATAGCGAAGGGTGCGAGGGTGGAATGGCCGTCGAGCTGAGGTTGGCTCGCTGCACGCCGTTGACTGCCAGACGCTTGGTGATGTCGATATGTCTTGGCGTCAGGCGCGCCTTCCACCACCAGCTGCCTGCACCGCACCGCACCGACGCTGCCTTTACCCACGACCTTGCCCTCCGCCTCCAGTCCCGGATTGCGGGTCTCTGTGTGACAGGGCATGCATGCAGTGCCGGCATCTACGTCCATCTGCCCTGTCGCGTTACGCAGGCAATATTGCCCATGCATCGCTCCCTGCTGCTCCTGGATATCCACAGCCATGCTCGATCCCACGTCAAACGTCGACGTGGAGCGTCACCTGGATGAACAAGTATGAGTCTTGCATCGACGAATGGATGCAGTCATTCTTCTCTGCGCCGCAGTCAGGCAAGCTGAAGCATGCGAATATGTGTAGCTGCACTGCAGCATTGGTATTTTTTTGGTAGGAGCCATCATGTCGTCACGTGACTGCCCTAGACATTCACTGTATGAGAAAGGCACTCCACACGCAAAAGTGCAGCAACGATCACGGCGCGAGGTAGGATATGCTTGTTGATCGCATCCCGCCATGCCATCATGTTTCTGCACCCAACTTTTTGGATCTGAGATTCCCTTGTCCACAGCATTTCTCTCGCCATTCCATTCGCTCGGCCCCTGTGCAAACTATGCTTCGCCTTCGGCCGTCCGAGATCACCCTGACGCCCGAGGATGTTGAGGAGGCCTTCCGCCGCATTGCCAGCAGACGTAGTCTTAAGAACGCGAGACATGTTTCACCACAGCAAGGACGTCCAGTTCTCCGTCGTGGACCGCAGCGAGCAGTTCAAGACACCATCACCACCCTTGGAGACATTCCTATACTGAGACCGAGACCGCAGCGAGCTACCGATTCGTCTTTTGATGACCAGACTGCGGAACATTCTGAGCGGACAACTCCAAGCCCCAGGGCGCGGGCTGATAGTGTGCGAGGCCCTTTGTCCCCTTCTGAGCTTGAGCTTGAGCTTGAGGAAAGGACGCCAGCACCTATCGAATCGCCTGCTCCGTCCTCCCTCCGGATCTTGCAGCTACCATTCAGGCTTGGAAGGGGCCACAAAAATAGTCCAACTCAATCATCCACAGCCGAGCACCGCACGCATGGAGACATCAGCTCTCCTTCTCACGCTGCATCTCAATCAGCCGTGACTCCCACCAACTCTGTCAACTCTGCTGAACCTGATCAACGTACCTCACCCACTCGTCCAGTCTCTACGACAAGCCAAGCGGAATTGCGTGGAGGGGGTCAGACGCCTCCACCATTCCCATCCGACGATAACGACAGAGAGTCTCCGCACCACACTTCAGATCCGGAAAGTACTTCTGACCCCGAAAACCCAACACTTCACCTCAAGAGCCACCTCAAAAAGAGGAGAAGAGGCGAAGATGGACCAAGTTTTGGTATCCATTCAGACCGCTCGCTAGCCCCGCAGACGGAGCCGCGTCGCCCCAGCGAACGTATGCCGACTCACATGCGTAGCTTTTCGTCAGGCACCGCCCCGACATATGGACTTCCTGGGCAAATACAGACTCAATGGGCCGCTGCTTTCGACGCAGTCGCTTCATTTGACACAACGCCCCCTCAGGATGATGTATTCGGTTCACCAATAGACCCTCGTATAGGATCGCACTTTGCGTTCCCTCCTCAAGACTCTGGCGACCATCAAAATGATCCACTGGTCACAGGGTCGAGACAGATCAACAGTGAAGCATCGACCGCCAGTGGAGCCTATTCGTTCTACGAACTGCCCCCTATCTCTCGCGACGGAAGTGGCAATCAATCAGGGAGTCATGAATCTACAATCCCTCCCAATGATGGATCAGCGGCATCTCCACAGGTCAGTCATGGCGCATACTATTATGTACGCGCTTCACACGTGAAATGGTCTAACTCGGCGGAGCAGTTGCCAAGACATGCGCTCGTTGCCGGCCAGCACAGCGTATCTCCGCTACCTTCGTTGCCCTATTACCGCCAAAACACTCATTCTACATCGCCCGCACCATCTGAACGGAACGTTACTGCGTCGACCCGCTCCACGTCACAAGAATCTGTAGGCCAACCGCCAATTGTATGGTATACTCGACTACCAGATCAGAGACCTATATGGTGGGGTCGCCAACCCATCCCATCTGGTTATCAAGCTGCGCCTCCGGGTAGTGGCTTTATAAATCTTCCTCTTCGTGGATACATAGGAGACTTAGACGCAGCCACTGCTGCGATACAGGGCCGTCCTTCACCCCTTGGTCCTTACTCCGAATATTATCAACATCATCTTGGACAACAGACCGCGCAGCCGCCAATGGTTGCACAACAAGTCGCTCCATATCCCATTGACCAATATAGCGCAGGGCTTCGACACAGTGCTACAGATACCGCACACGGTTCGACTAATCATTCACAATATCCTTCTGTCCTGAATCAAGACGGTGCCCCTATTGGACGCAATGCACACACTGCCAGGGCCAACCAACGCTCCAGCGAGAGTGCATCTGTCCGATCACCTGTCCAGAGCAGCATTCCTAGCCACAACAGTCAGGTCCAGCGACACCGAGAGGCGTTTGAGGCAATGCACAACTGGAACCCCAGCGACAGCCTTCAGCCAGGCCCGTCTCGGCTCAGCTTGGCTCAGCCAACAGTTCCTCGTAATAACTCTCGTGAATCTCTAGCACCCGGTTGGAATCGACATACCACACTGAATGTGCCGTGGAATCGTCGTACACCGCAATCGTCAAGCAGTCCAGTCGCTCCACCCAATCGAAGTCCGAGCGCGCCACTCGATCCTGCTTTGCCAGCTTACAGACCAAGTGCATCGCCAGACCTCCCCCCTACGATCCCTTCTCGCAATGGGCCCAATATGCGCGGCGGAGCAGCCCCGGATCGCACTCAGACTCGTGCTCGCCGTCGAGTCACACCAGCACGTTCTCCGAACCACCTCCGTCCGCCTCGCGCTTCTCTTCCTCTCCATTACGCAGTGAGTCTTCGATCTCCACTTCTCCACGGTGCAAATCCACCTCGCCCAGTCCGTCGAGTACCGCCGCAGCAGCGCGATCAGGAGAACTCGGGTGCGGGAGAAGAGCAGTTGATGAGGCAGGAAGCTGCGGCTATGCATGCGCGGTATGGAGAGGATGTACAGAGGGATGTCATGGATGAGACGCCGCCACGCGTGGGAAGGGTTGAGAGAAGGATGTTTAGCTAAGCGTGGATTGGATAGATGAGGTAATGCCATTGTTTTGGGATTTGGTAATGAAGGGTGGTTTGGGTATGGGAAGTGGCGATTCAAAAAGCTAGGTACGTTGATTCAAGAGTATTGATAGTGAATACATGGCTATTACGTGGCATGGAAACGAGGCTTCAAAACCCACACCGAACGCATTCATGCGATTTGAGCGATTTGAATGAACGCCACGGTAGCGCTGAGTTCTGCTTAGCGCTTTGTGCTCTAGGTATATAAGCACATCACCTCTCCCATAGCTTCTCTCACCATTCCGCTCATCAAAAGCCATGTCGTCTTCCAAATTTGGCGTACAGGGAGTTCATGTTCTCCGCTTCTCCAGCCCAGATCTCACTTCAGAGCAGCGGCATGTCTGTCCAAAAAAAAACCTGCATCACCTTATGTCTGTTCGCTGTTATTCTTCTGCCATTTAGCAACAGAAAAAACTTCAAGGGACATCTTCTATGTCTTCCGCTGCTTTTTCTGGACACCCCCAAAACAAAGGATGCGAGACGCGACAAATGGAAGCCGTCAGGGCGCCAAATTAAAATCTCCTCGCGCTCATGTGTGTCGTGGCTTCTTCTCTAACGCAAAGCATAATGCTCATGATGTCTGTTTCGAAATTAGAGAGTACATCAGCGATGTGCTTTCCTGGGGCGACTTTTTCTGCCAAACCCACGTCTCGCCGATACCAAATGTGTTCGGTAGCCCACCATGGAGAATCCGCGTCTAGAAACGCCACCATGGCGCACCATATAGTGACTCTGGTTCTTGACATGCGTGTGTATATAATATGCACGCCTTGCGTTGTCGTCTTCTCTTCTCCTCCACTCAAACACGGCTCATCTCTAAAACCCGCCAAACCAAAATCCTTTGCGTGTTCGGCACGTCGCCTGCTACAAAAACCCTAATGCCCCGTTTGCATGGTTTTCTGGAGGATCGAACCGCAGCCGCGATGGGAAGGGTGTAGACGTGGGTACATATACCTAACGGACGACGTGGCTTTGTTCTTCTATCTCCGACGACAAAAATGCTCCCGTGTTAAAATCAGTAATGATCGCATTCCATGTTCTCTAGGTTCTTATTTCTAAAAGTAAACCAGTTAGCGTGCATGTTTCTTAGCCTCTGTTCAAATTTTAGACGCAGGAGTACATGTTTGCCTAAGGATCGGCGTTTATTAGAGGAGAGAGCATGTATAACACCCTCAACGCTAAGCTCTTGTGTTTCCATCTACATCAATTCAAATGCTCCTATGCAAAAATAAGAATAGACGCATCTAATGTTCTCTGGGTTCTTCTTTCCAAAACGTCTGTTCAAATGGTTTCATGTTCTCGACGTGTTTGGTCCAAAAACACACACGCCTCTGAAATCAGAAAGTCATCAGAAGAGAGGGTATATATTCCCCACTCAAGGTTAAAACCTTCTATCATGTATAGCAACAAAGTAATTTCTATCCAAAATGTAACTATGTCGGAATGTATGTCCCCTGGTTTCTTGTGTACAAAAACAGCGAGGACCGTCCTTATGTTCTTGCCTCTCAGTGCAAGACACACACACACATACGTACACACATGTCTGCCCTGGAACCGGGAAACCTCATCGCGCCGGCTGCCTGTGCATGAAAAGAGGGATCTCCACCTTCTATGTACAACTTTAGCAAGGCATAAAGACGAGTTTTGCTTCAAACGACACAGAGATCCTTGGATGACCGACGGATCCTGTACGGCTCGAAAATCACCGAGTCATTGTTCTTATGTTGCTGCAGACGAAAAGCATGCCATAAGCATAGGATGGATTGCGAAAAATGCAGACGTTACGGTACATGGACGGAGAGTGAAGATTGGAGCTACAAGTATTTAAACCTCCCCTTTCTACAAACTCTACACTTGCCCATCTTCATCTATCAAAATTGCAGTTCTTCCAAAAACCAACATGGGACAAGCGTATGTCTACAGTCTATTTCTTTTCTCAAAAGTGTACATCTACGCCGCCATGGACCTGAAATAATTGAACCCCAACAACATGGACGTCTCTGCTTCTCCCCTCTTCTCACCACGAAAAGTTTGGCGACATGGCGACGGGCTTCAAAATGCAACTATGTGCAGCACATGTGTGCCGGTTCTTCTTTCAACGGCTTGATGTCGAAAATTGCTAGGCGGTGGAATTGATGTCGCGCGCTTGAAAGAGATGTCCTGTGTTCGCACGACGCGGAAACTTGAGTAGAGTATTGAACCTATGCCTGGGAGTGCGGTTATGATGGGTCTATACACCTGGCTCTCCATTCGATAACCTTTTCCATCCACAGTTGCCTATTTGACCAGAACTGTGTTCAAGATACTAGAGCTCACGTTCGACGTTCTCTGCTCTCCTGCTAAGTCGGTCTTGCCGCTTTCGGATGTTTGGCCTGGGGAGTGTGCCTCACAGCTGTTCTACCGCTACATACGATAATCTACACATAGCGCGATATCATGGTTCCTTTCAAGATGCACATAAACTGACACAATGGCTGGTGGCCGTCTGCTCTGCGCATAAAGCTATTACACTCGCATCTATGCTGCGCTCAAGTCGGGAAGAGTGTTTGTTTGGGCTTTTGAAGAGGGAAAGAAATGTACATCCGTCTGTACAAGCAGACCTATTTTCTCCAAAGCATCAGGATAATCTTGTTATGAATGGCAGATGAAGCCTGGTCGAAAATCGCGGAGTCGGAGTTTCCATGTGATCCTGTACAAAGTCGTGTTGGACAAATCTGGGTAATGACCAAAATTGAGCACGTGCGTATTTGTTGTACCACTGCAAAGATTCCCGCAGTCGTGTCGAGATAGGTTTACTACGCCCGCAAAGACGATTTCTCAACATTGATGTCGTCGGTGACGAACAGGGATGACCCTCAGTGACGCGTTAAGCCGGCCTGTGCCGAGTTGAAGCACCTCGGCATTACTCCACATTCCGGGGCAAGTCCAAAGCCAATTCTCCAGCGGAACACAGCCGCCATGTGACAGTGGCTCTTTCGATCCGTTAGAGCTTCTTTTCTCCGCACTTTCACGTTCTGCAGGTTCTCACACATAATACCTGAGCCATGTCGTCCGCCGCCCTCCGCACATCCATGAAAATGGCGTCTCGGCCGCAGCAGCGCCTTGCTAGCATTCAGAGGCAGTTCAGCAGCTCGGCACCGGTGCGGAAGGAGATTAGAGATGCCTATATTTTGAGTGCGAGTCGGACGCCGACGGCTGTGGTATGTAGAGACTGTATTAGGGGATATAGAAGCTAATCGGTGCCAGTTCAACGGCAACTTCACCACTGTCTCCGCAACTCAGCTTGGCGCTACCGCGATCAAAGATGCTCTCGAGAAGTCGAAAGTACCCGTCTCCTCAATAGACGCCGTGTACATGGGCAATGTGCTCTCAGGAGGCGTTGGACAGGCGCCCGCACGTCAAGCCGCCATCTTCGCAGGCCTCCCCACCAACATCGAAGCCACCACCATCAACAAAGTATGCGCCTCCGGTCTCAAGGCCGTGAACATTGCAGCTTCCACAATCGAGCTCGGTCAAGCAGAAGCTCAGGTCGCCGGTGGCATGGAGAACATGACCCGCGTGCCATATTACCTCAATCGCGCAAGCCAACAGCCAGCCTTCGGCAACCAGAAGCTGCAGGACGGCTTGATCGCCGACGGTCTGTGGGATGTATACAACCAGATCCACATGGGCAACTGTGCGGAAAGCACAGCGAAGAAGCACGGCGTCACACGACAAGATCAGGACGACTATGCTATTGAGACGTACAAGCGCGCTCAGCAGGCATACAAGGACGGTCTGTTCAAGGAGGAGATTGTGCCAGTCACGGTCAAGTCGAGGAAGGGCGATGTCGTTATTTCTGAGGATGAGCAGTACAACAAGCTCAAGCTGGACAAGGTGTCTACTTTGAAGCCAGCGTTCGAAAAAGGTCCGGATGGTACCGTGACGGCGGCGAACAGCTCTCCATTGAGTGACGGCGCATCTGCACTGGTTCTAGGTAGCAAGGAGATTGCACAGAAATACGGCAAGGACAGCAGAGTGTTGGCGAAAATCATCACCTACGCTGATGCCGCTGTTGGTACGTCAAACCCTCATCCAGCATGATTTTTCCCGGTATTAATATCATCTAGACCCCATCGACTTCCCCATCGCCCCCGCATCCTGCGTCGAAAAACTCCTGAAACAATCCGGCCTGAAAAAGGAAGACATTGCTATCTGGGAATTCAACGAGGCCTTCGCCGCTGTCATCAAAGCCAACGCCAAGATCCTCGGCCTGGGAAGTGACAACGTCAACCCTCGAGGAGGCGCCATTGCGCTGGGACACGCGCTTGGCAGCTCGGGTAGCAGAATATTGGTTACCCTACTGCATCAGCTGGAGGTTGGGCAGTACGGTGCTGCGGCGATTTGCAATGGTGGAGGTGCGGCGTCAGGCATTATTGTGCAAAGGGTTAGCCCGGATCAGCTATGAGATATTGTAGACGCAAAAGTAAAATGACACCAGGCAGTGGCAAAATTCGTGTCCGCCCTGCACCTGCGCGATATGGTCTAATAGTCTCTAGCAGTGAGCCTACAAGTCCATAAGAGAGGCTGAAGATACACGCTACTCTAAAACTGCCTTATCTAGTGTTGCGAAAGTTTTTAAGATTATCTAGTCTACCTTAACCTCTTCTCATTGGACGAGGGCGGACAGGAATTCTGCCGGCGCCTGGTGATGAAGATGATTTGATGATGTCAAATGTGGCGCTACTGGGATCTTGCACGTGACCTTCGTCGCTCATCCCGATTTGAACCACCTCTTCACACCTCACCTGCCTATGTCACAGCAATGTCACTACCAAGCTTTAATGCCCCTGTAGATCCATAGTTGGGTCAAAATATTGCCGCTTGTCCTCCCACAGCACACAAAAGTCTCTTCAGCCCCCCCCACATCACAACCACGCCCCCCAAACTCGCAGCCCAACAGCCAGCAGCATAAAAAAGCAAAAAGAACGACGTGAGCAGGGTTCGAACCTGCGCTCCCTAGGGAATAAGATTTCAAGTCTTACGCATTAACCACTCTGCCATCACGCCCAGGGGGTTATTGTTATGGGAGTGTGGAAAATTAGATGTCCTATAGTTTTAGGACTCTGATTCGCTTCAGATTTGGGGACCCTGTGTGATTGTTGAGAAAGGAAGCGGTGTGTTTGCGGATACTTGCATGGTGGTGATACGGGAGGTTGTGCGAGTGTGCTAGATTGGGATGGGATGGGGAGCACAGAGCAACGAAATTTGAATGATCACAGTTATGCGTCATCATTTGCTGAAGGCTGCTCTGCTGTCTCATTGTCTTCGTGGAAATCATTATGGTGCCATTAACTGTCCAAACACCTCTAACAAACGCCCGAAAATTTTGCCCTTGGATTCATCCTTTGCATTTCTTGTCATTTGGTTACAGCCATTCCCTCGAGATCATCTCAAAACGCATTGAGATCCATGTCCAGGTCCAAATCCATGTCCATCGTAAAATTCATCTCTTCGTTATCCCACGCCATAAATTCGTCAGTGCTGCTCTCTACATTCGGCACACTGAAGCTAGTTGTGCTGATCGGAATGGTTGAACTAAGGTCCGCGCTGCTGGTCGGGTTCTGGAACTCTTCTGGTAATTGGTCCCAGCTAGGGAACTGGAAGTCTGTCGTGTCCTGAACAATTTCTTCGCCCTGCTCGTTGCACATCTTCTCGCTGATTGGGGGCATCGAAAAAGCGGTGTCAAACGACACCAGACCAAGATTCGCTGATTCTCCAATTGCCGTATTGCTCATATTGAGAGACGCATCCGGCGAGATCTCCACCAACGGTGCCTGCGAAAGCAACGACGTCGGCGAGTTCGAGCCAGAAAGACCAGGAGTACTCTGGGTAGATCGACGAATGTCTGCTTCACGCATTGCATCGCCAATGACGCGGACACTGCCTGATAGCGAGCACTGCATGGCCAAGAAGCGATTGGGGTGGTCTTCGACGATGTCTAGACAGCGAAAATTGCTGAGGTTGAAGCTTGGGTCAAGGACGCTATTGGTGTGCAGGCCAAGGTCTTCGTAGAGGTCATGCTGCGCAATGACATCTGCTTCCTTGATTAGTAGCCGCAGCCGATTATAAAGTGGCGATGAATGGTGCTCACCTTGGACGCAAGCAGTCGCACTCGCATCGATGCCGTGCGCTTTCTTGAACAAAGTCAGCCATTCCGGATTGTCGGCTGCGGTTTGATCCCAGCCATCTGCGTCGTTGTACAGGATCAATCGTGCCTCTCGTTGTAACATGTCATCCGTGATAGAGTTTGCACCGTGCTTCGCAATATGCTCGCGGGCAAATCGTCCAAGTCTTAGCGTGAGGATCTCCCAGCATGTGGCATTAGGATTCTCCCCCGTTGAGTTGTTGTCAGCAAACATCTTTGATGTTGTGAGAACGATAGGTCCGATGCGGTTGACCTCTGCGTTATCCTGGTAGGCTACGCAAAGATCCCTTGATGGGCCGGTTTCGACGTAATTTGGCAAGAGATACTCAAGATCTTTGCTCGTGAGTTGCAGATTGGATTGCTGGCTTGAGTTAGCTTGGCTACAGGAGTATTGACAAATTCGCTCATACCTGTAGGCTTGATGAGTTGCTTGCGGAGAATGGAAACGGAGATTTGCTCTCATTCGCAATGAGATATGGCGGCATTGCGTTCGTGACATGAATCGCTACATGAGCGTCAAGTCCTCGACACCCCTTCCAGTTCTTCATATCTGCGCCACCGCGGAACTCCTTGGCTAGATGGTCGACACGATCTTGCCATTTATCGAAGCTCATCTGGCAAAAGCCGCAGCGAGATTTGATATATTGCGCTTCAGACTTCCAAGTCTCCATGCTGGGCGTCATCTTGCATTCGTGCCTGTTTGACGTTAGTTTGCGGTCATCGGGGAATGCTGTGATACCGGCACTTACATAAGCCTCAAATGTTGCCTAAGATGATCTTTCCTGTAGAACGTTCGAGATTCAAGGCCCTTCTCTTCGCAAGCGCTGTGGTGGTGCGAAGCCAAGTGCTCCTCACTGGGCTCCAGGTCGTCGCAGTAGACACATTTGCGCTTACCAGTAGCCTTATCAACAATAACCTTCCCCAAGGGCGCGCATATCCACTTTTCCAGTGAAAGATGCAGGCTTTTCTCGTGACGCGACCAGTCGTACTTGGACTTGAATCGATCGGTACAGAACGTGCATTGGAACAGACGAGGGGACTCGTTCGCGTCCAACCTTGGTGCACGTGTGGGAAGTCTTCGTCGCCGGCGCCTTTCCTTTGATTTCAGGCTGTTCATCGAGCCGAGCGAGAGTCGTGAGCCATACGAGTATGCTGAATTGTGAGACCCCAGAGACCCAGAGGACATGGCTGTGGCTGTTGTCTCCAAGGATGAGATTGAAGGCGCCCTGAAGATGGAAAAGCTGCCATTGCTGTCGTTCGAGGTGTCGTTGCGATAGCTCGTGCTGGTGCTGGCCGACGCAGGCAGATCAAAGGTTTCGACAGCCTGTGCGATAGCGTTCATCGGTGCAGGTTCGTTCTCGGGAGGAGAGTGTTTCCATCGCTCGAAGGGATCTATCGAAAGTTAACCCAGACACTCCTGCTGTTGTACCGCTGGCACCTCCGTAGAAGAGCCAACTTGCGAGTTTGCAACGCTGTCGTGGCATCCGCTCTTCGCTTGAAAGGTCAAAAACCTCCCAGAGCTTGCAGTTGCCATGAACTTATGCGCTTTTCCAAAATGAGGTTTCGAATACGTACTAAGAGACTCCCAGGTTCTTCCAGCTGGAATGTTGATCGCTTCAGTCGAAGGTCGAATGCTGGGTGATGCACTTCGCTTGGGTCGTGCTTTCTGCCTTCGCCTCGTGTTTGCCATCCAGTTGGAGATCTGGCCTAGTGATAGTCCAGTCTGTTCCTTTAACAGCTCCTTGTCCTCATCGGTAGGATAGGGGTGGTCAATATGTTCCAGCATCCAATCCTTCAGAATTTTGACTGCGGCTCGTGGGAACCTAGCAGCAGCAGCTCCTTTCTTTGGTCGGTCTTCTCCTTGGTTTTCATCTTCAATGGGACCCAGGTGACCAAGTGATCGTAGCTGCTTCTTTCCAGTAAGTCCACCGAAGCATCGTTCATCGTCTTCGCCGACGACATCTAATGTGTCCAAAGCAGTCTTTTGCCTCAGAGTTGGTCTACTCTCTGTATCGGTGAAGCTGCAAGGACGGAACAATGCATTGCATGGCGAGCATCGCACCCGACATGAACCTTCTGAGTCATAGATAAAGCACTCAAGGCCTTTTGATCGACAATAATCACAAGGGTGACTTGGTTTCTGATAGCGGGGAAGATGCGTCGAGAAGTCGGTGTTGAAGTCTGGTTCAGGATTGGTTATGCTTTGAAGTTCCTCATGGTTCAAATAACTGCTTAGTGTTAGCTTATAATGCCCATGATCACGGCACAATGTGAGCGAGCACAGGGGCCCAGGCTTCAAGATATGTGAAGGTAGCACAAAGAGCTATTGACGCTTCACTATTTTAAAGCGCACTGCGGTGGTTTCAGAGATGGCAACTTACCCTTCACCAGATAATGTCGAGGGAGGGTCCTGCGATGTTTCTTGCTGCGCATCCGGCATGGCGGCTTCACCAAAGTCAAAGTATTGGCTAATTTCAGAAACACTTGGTGTAGCCATGGTGCCTGGATGCCACCAGAAGGGCGCCTCTGGTCCGAACGTGGATCGCTGGTTGGTCAGCAGCTAGAATGACAAACGCGCCTTTTGACAGAGTGTGGTCAAATAGTGATTATAGGGCGCAAAGAAGATCATAAAGAGCGAGCATGCCGTGGATAGAAGAACCCTCGTCCATCCACATCTAGACCAGTCATGGTCGTTTAGCGCTAGGACCACTACATGTCAACCAGAGGGCGCAGTGCACCGTGCGCAAGATGTCAAAACGATTAGCTGGTCCCACAGAGTCCCGATGCTTGGCAAGAAATGTTGAAAGAAACGGCTCCAATACAGCTGACTCATGGCTCGAGAAGCCGGCACAGGAGCGTTGTTCAGGTTAGAAAGAGCAGGAAACCGACGTCCTTATCCTGGAAAGCGCACTACCGCTCATTGCAGGCCATGGAGCCACTGTCCTTCCCTTCGAATGCAATTCGTGGCCCGAGCATGGTGTAATTTACACTCTCTTCGTGTCAGTTATGAAGCTACCTGAACGGGCGTACTTGGGGGCCTCGCAGAGCTGACAAACCCCACTCTGGCTCTGCGCCATCCCAGAAAACTTGAACGACTAAGCGGCGGCATGTATGGCGATTGGTCGCGCGCAATCTAGAAGATGGTGGGCCCGCCGGAATAGGCTGATGACTGAGTCTGGGGAACGTCCGAGATGCGGATTGAAAAGTGCAAGAAGAGCAAAGCTAGCCAAAGAAATCCACCAGGTATCAACGGGTTTTTGCACTGTATAGCACCTGTGTTCACGCGACACACCCGACGGGTAAAGCGTGTTGTTGTTCAGGCTGCAAGAAAAGCGATCGCGATCCGGGAACTGCCCAGCAAAGCGGTGTCGGCATGACTTGTTCCGAACGGGACCGGCACCGCATCGTGAACTCGTAAGCTTTCAATATCCCCCTACAATCAGCTGCTTCCTAGATGTTATCACATGAAGAATGCATAGATGCACTTTAGAAAGTAATTGGAGTGTTGTCACGCTTCCGAGGTCGATAACTTGCGGACTTCCAACTCAAGATGCCACTGCATCTCAGTCAGCATCACTTCATCACCAGCTGTATACATTTCGTCTTCTAAAGTCACGGTCAACCGAAGCCAGTTGCCAGGACACATAGTGGCTCCGATATCACGACCAATTTTTGCCGATCGCCCACGCACAACGTTGGAACATGTGATCAGCGAGGCTGGATCGTAACATATCTTCTCGATTCGAATTGTAAAAGTCAAACGTAGTGGTTTGCATTTTAAAACGACGGCCGCAAAGCTACTTTGCATGTCGCAGCTTATGTCTAATTACTGTCACAGATGCTGTGGACAGATGCTGTGGGGAAAGGATACATCTCGTCAAGATCGGCTGAACGTCCACGAAGTCCTTTGCATCGGGTTGCAATCGAAGCACGAAGTACCTCTGTGTCGAATGAGGCGGGGCTGGGCGGACACAGTGCGGGGTAGAAGTTGCACTGCTTTTGGTGGTAATACTCGATGCACACAGCACCTTGTCCTTCTACCATTTATGTGGTATTGGAAACTTCTGCAAATATATACTCGAATCTCTTAAGACTTGAATCGATCCATCCATCGATCAACGAGCAGGGCTTGGCGTGGATGCCGAGGTCGAGATCTCGGTCGACTTAGCGAACTGCCAACACATAGTCGCATCAACCCATCTGCCCAATACATACGACTTGTCCATAAGCTGCACGAGCTAGCCAATGCCAGGGTCCGTCCTCCACAACGGTCGTCATGTAACATGCCTCTTGTCACCGCCTGTGTTTGACAACCCAAAAGCTCTCTTCCTGCCCCCAGCCTGCTCTCGAATCTCGCCGTACCCCGGACGATCGTCATCCGCTGTTTGCGCCCATCTTGCGAACTGTGAAAGATTCGCGCTCTTATGCAACCAACACTGAAACGACGATGACCCAGATCTATACTTGAAGCGGTACTTGAGATATGGATGAAGCTCCCAACTGCGCGATTTGCAATGCTCCCGCCTATCCAGAATGCCCTTGCGAATCGGAGCGACTGCAGATCGCAGTCAAGCAAGCAGAACAGCGCGCTATGGATGAACGGCTGGCCGAGATACGGTGCGCTTTCCATTGTCAATGCTGAGGGAATTGCTGCTGACCGTTTCATAGAGACTGGGTGATCAACCATGCGCGCCAGCACATTCTGAAGGCATTCGAAAGTCTGAGCTCGATACGAAAGTCAGCACACGCCCAATACCTTGCCTCGTTACCCAACTACGACATCTACATGCGATACTCCGGACGCCCACCAATATCGCACATATATGTTGCAACTTTACAATCACAAATCGCTGAAGCGCATTCGGAACTGAAGCGGGGCATCGATGCTGACTGGCGTGCATCGGTCCTTCGCTACCCGATAGTTCTGGATTACTTCTATAGCCTGATCCAGTTGAGGCTTCCCAGCGATCATTCGCCAGAGGTCGTCCAACCACCTTTCGCTGCAGCTGGGTACGCGGACAGAGGATACGACAGAGGCTATATCGACACTGCTAGTGGTATCGAGAAGAAAAAGAAGAAGCGGCGTGACAGGGAGGGCTCGGCAGGTCCAGAGAGACATGCAGCCGTACACCGCATCATGAGAGGGCCGCCGCCGGTGCCTACACCTCCACTGCAGCATTCCGGATTCCCTCGGCCACCCGGAGCGTACTACTAAGCAGCTTGGCATTGCATTTTATCGCGGGGTTAGCTTCACCAAAGCGCAGGCCTGGGTTTGCGATTTGTTCCCTTCGAAATTGAAGCATAGCGAGGAGTTTGGGTTGCAGATTTGCGGCTAAGCACTCGCGCGTACTCTCGATGCAATCCTTAGCGATGATGGCATCGCGTGATATTTTTACAGTCTGAATAGGGCGTGCAGTCCATGAATACCATCCATAGTTGTTTGCATAGTATCACCAATCGTACCTGAAGTTGATCGAAGCTATGTGCCTGTGCGTTGCTTGGCAGTGAACTAGGGCGTGACAACCTTGGGGAACTTTTTGAACCCCGACATCCAACACCGTCACAACCTACACAACCAAGGATATTACGCGTAATAATCGCCCAATCTCGTGTGCTTCGGACTACTAGCCCCGTGTCACATACGAACATTACCAAAACACCTAAAACCGAGAGATCGTGAACTTGCCCACCATGAGCGGCAAAGCAGGCGCATACGGTACCCAGGGTGGAGGAGACACAGATTTCAGGAAAACATGGGATCGCGACGAGATGGCCAAGAAGGCCAGGGAGAGGGAGACGAAAGAGCGCGACGAAGCCAAAGAAAGATATGAAGCAAAGGCAGCAGGGAAGTCGTATAGGCGGAGAGCGTCCACACCGGAAGACTTGAAACAGACAGAGGCGCGAAGTGAACGGATAGACTGGAGTCAGATGATTGGCAAGCAGACGCTCACATCTGCGGCAGCGGGCGTGGGAAAGCGAGGAAAGGGCGCAGGCGCCTACTGTCAGGCTTGCGACCTCACGTTCAAGTAAGCCATCCGGCGCAATCTCTTCCTATGTTCATACGCTAATTGCAACCCTAGGGACAATATCCAATACGTCGAGCATTTAAACAGCAAGCAACATTTGGTCGCAACCGGACAATCTGGCGAAGTGCGACGCGCAACTCTCGAAGAAGTACGAGACCGATTACGCTACCTGAAGCGCAAGAGAGACGAAGACAAGTTCCAAGAGGTCGCTGACCTCGATACACGGTTGGAGTTGAACCGGACCAAAATGGAGGAAGAGGCCGAAGAGCGCAGACGGAAGCGCAACGAGAAGCGCCGCGCGAAAAAGAACGGGGACAGCACAGCCATGGAGTGGAAGGTCGAAGGAGACGGTGTGATTAGTTGAGCCGAACAGCGAGCATTACCGTTTCCAGATTCTGGCGTAGCATTCGGCGCGCTGATTGAGATTAACATTTAGAGCATATCGGGCGTCTTTCTTTCTCAATGGCATATCGAAATGTCGGCATGCCCCGAACGAGATGAGATATGTCGGCATACCCCGAAGGACGGGTGGCGTTGTTTCGTTGTTTAGGCGCACCAGACATCATGATACCCCACATTTAGATAGATACCAGCTAGCATGCCTTACCCTAGCTGTCTGATGCAATCCAGCTCTGATTTCTAAGCTCCACTCCACACTTCGCGTCTCCTCAAAGCCGAAGCTTGATACATATAACATAGGGCAATCAAGCTGTCTCATAATTTGACCACTCGACATCTTGCACTGCTAACATCATGGCTCAAGTTAACGGAAACGCACCGAAAATCACACTATACACGAATCACAAATGCCCCTATGCACATCGCGCGCATATCGTGTTGAAGGAGTTGGGGTTGGAATACAAAGAAGTGATTATCGACCTGGACAGGCCAAGGGAAGACTGGTACCTCAAGATCAACCCAGTAAGTCCCATCAAATACCAGCCCAGGCGTAAAGTCACACGAGCCAACATCCCCACCACAGCGCGGCCTTGTCCCCGCCATCGACTTCAACGGCGAAATCCTCACCGAGTCTGGCATCGTCGCAACCTTCCTTGCAGATGCATACCCATCGCACCTCTTCCCCGCCGCGGGCAACCCCAAAGACGCACTGACCCGCGCCCGCATCAACTTCTTCGCCGACACTTGGTCTTCCAAAGCCGGTAGTTACTGGTTCCAGATCCTCAAGGCCGACGGCGCGGAGAAAGACTCACTCGTGCAGGCCTTCGTCGACGTCGTTGGCAAAGAAGTAGAGCCCTTGCTCGCTGACGCTGCGCCGTTTTTTGGCGGGAGCAAGCAGGTCACGCTCGCGGAGGCGATGACTGCGCCGTTCATTCTGCGCGCGTATGCACTGACGAAGCATGGCTTGTTGCCGCAGGCCGTGGTGGATGGGTTCGACAAGTTGCCGAATTTCTCCAAGTGGGCGCGTGAGGTTAGCAAGCTGGAGAGTGTGACGTTCATCTGGGATGAGCAAGCTACGATGGAGGCGACGAGGAAGAGGATTGAGAAGATGAAGGCACAGGCGAAGTAACAAGTTAGAATCATCAAGACGTTTGTTTTCTATCTAATACTTTTGAGCAATTGCATCGTGATGTGATATGATAGTTATGATTGTGAAGAAAAGATAGGTAAAGGAAATCCTGAACGCCGCGAGACTAGACCAAGAACCCCCAACCAAGCCGAGCCAGATGCAGAAAAGAAACCAGATATGCACGCTAGTAGAACTGCGAGACTTCGTGCTGGACGGAAGGAAGGCTCCACCGATTGCCTGAGTTACATGGTCGAGCCACGACGCATCCGCTTCGTTGGCGGTAGCAACATCCTTCCAACGCTTCCAAGCGATAACAACAATTCTGCCAACTCTATATCGCCCTTTGAAGGGACAATTTCGCGGATGCTGTCAGTGGTTCGGTGGTCGCTATTCACCGCGCCAGATGTCTGAGGACGAACTGGTGCCTCGTCACTGGCAGCTTCACTCAAGGCGACCTTGGAGTGGGTTCGCTTGGTTCGGATCTGCTCGCCGTAGTGGTCGTCCGGCGTCGGCGTTGGCATCTGCAGAAGAGGTGAGCCTTGCCAGGCTGTAGAAGAGCCGAACGCCGCAGAGTTGACACTTGGCGTGGGTGGTGATGGCGATCTGTTCAACGCTGTCCATTGACTGCGTGGTGATATTTTGGGCGAGAGGGAGTTTGGAGACAGTCTTCCGTTCAAGTGTGTCCACTGAGGCGACCTGTGCGAAGAGAGCGCGTTCAGATGTGTCCACCCAGGCGATTTATGTGGAGAGAACGCATAAGTGTCACGCTTCGAGGTGTCGGTCCCATACCCACTCTCAATATCAGCTGGACGCGTGCGTCGCTGCTTCATGGTTTTGGGCTTCCAAGACGGGGAATCGAAGTTCATCTGTGTTGGTATGGTCGGTGACGCAGAGGCAGAGGCCATCAGGCGGTATGATGTACCCTCTCTCCGAAAGCGATCCGTCTCCGCTATGCAATTCCGCACGATTACTGGATCGATGACGAATTTTGAAAAGCCGGGTTGTTCTCGTGAGAGGCACTGGGAGGGGAAGTCTTGTCCGAACACTGGCGTTAATGCGAATCGAATGTCATAGCAGAACGTCGCAGCTATCGCTTTGGCAGCGTCATACGGCATCCAATATCCTGGGAAAGGTCAGTAAACTGTTTCTACTCGTTCAGCGTAAACCAAGTCTTGACTGACCTTGACACACCAGCGCACCACCTGTGATGCTGTAGCTGACATCCTTCAGCCCAGGGTTTTGGTTCATAGCCTTGGCTGGCACGGTCTATGACTGTCAGCGATGTCTTAGTGTCTGTGAAGGCGATGCTAACCTTTGTGTACTTGCACGACTTGAAGAAGGGCGTCATGCGAACTAAGCCAACGTTGTAATCCCAGACTACCACGTACTCCTTCTCTTCACCAGGTATCTTGAAGGTGTACTGAAACACTGGCGACCGGTCAGTCCTTGCCTGTTATAGTCTGAACTGCTAACTTACTCTCGAATGCATCACGGCCCGTCTTGTCGAGAAAGTCTTTCTTGTCACTGTTGTATGGGATGTGTCGGACACCTTTCCTGCGTATTTCACCGAGAGGAAAGACTTGGAATCGCTCATGCTCGGCGCGCAGATCTTGATCTCCATCACCTTCATCCGGAGGATAGTTGACATAGCCAATGGTATGGTTGCCTTCAGAAAAGATTGGAGCATCCTTGGCTATCTTTTGTCGCTTCGGGAGAGCAGTCTGTGGCTCTGAGTATGGCACAGCTGCATGTGGTGAGGGATTTCGACCACGATAGCTGTGTTGCTCGTCGCACGAGGGGTTGAGAAGCGCCGAGACGTCCATAGCTGTCGTAGGTCTGGCTGACGTCGGGAAGGGGTTAGGTAATGTGTATCGGAGCTTGTTGCGATGTACCGGTACTTGTCAAGGTTGCTGGACTTGAAACGGGCGAGTTCCAGGTCAGCAATGAAGGCTAAGCTGCTGTGGAACCAAGGCGCGCTTTAAGGTGGTAGAGACCTGATGGGAGTGGACCGATAGAAGAGGCTGACAGACAGTGCGTTTGCGAAGTTCTCACGAGGACGATCGATCAACCTAAACGAGAGTCCGCCACGATGGACCTTCAGGAGCCACACAATAGGGAAGATGTTCTGTACAATCCGTCAGACTTTACGATGAAATCATTCAGATTTGAAATACGCACGGCCTTGAAGTGGATTCGCGCACAGTAGGAGGATTGATGAGTATGAAAGAGGGCAATGTTGGGACGTGGTAACCACACTGGTGTTGGTCTAACGTGGAGGCGTCGTCGTCAGACAAACCACTCGGCCCCGTGCCGATTGAATGTCCTCGTGTGGTGTCCAACGGAAAGTCCTGCTCGGCTGTCGCAAAAGCACAGCTTGACCAGTCAACTTGGCTGTGGGTTCGGGACAAGTCAGCAGCTTTCGTTGCGAAGATGCACCAGATGGTATGCACTTACGGGAATGCTAAGGTATGGAAGCTAGGCGGATATAACCTTGGTCTGCACGAGGAGAATAGCGGACAAAATTGTTGGAGGGGTGAGATGGGGTACACTGGATACCGACCAGGACACTTGTGCTGTACTGGAGGGCCTTTAATAGGCCATTTACCACACACCCGACAGCCCGCCAACTAATACGCCTACTACGCCTACTTGCGTTGCTAGATTTGTCCAAGCGCCTTGCAGACGACATCCGGTGTGCAGTGCGCATACTGCGTTTCAGCAGACAACCAGATGGCTTGATGGGTAACGACGCGGCAAATGAGTTTATTGGACCAAGCAAATACATTTGAAAGAAGATGCTGGGATCAGGGCGCACGATGCTGGGAAGATGGAATCGAACAACGGGCGTTACACAGCATCAAACACTCCATCCATGCCAAAAACTCTGCATACATACCGGTTCTGATCCGGTACGCGCTTTGCCCTGTGCGATTGGTACGATCATCCAAAACAAACCCAATCATCGTGAGGTTGGTCAAATGCACAGTCCGGACGGGACGTGCCAGTCTTTTGGGCGTTTGCTTGGCACGCATATCTGGACTGGGTCAAAGAGAGCTCGCCATGTGCTCATAGCTTATGCTAGACTAAGATGAGAGAAACGAAATCCGTTTCCTGGTCCGGGCTTGAGGAGAGTCGTTTGACTTTGATATCATACTCCCGCCGCTCATTTCGACTAACTCGTCAGCGCCCACCTTGGCCAGGCATTTTTGGCCTACCCCCGACTGCAGCAACTCTCTAGGAGTTACCCGGTAGATCTGTCAACGGCTCCGTCAACAAGGCTTGAAAGAACGAATCGGCTTTCGTTTACCTGCAGCCTCCCGCGCAACACAACGCGCACGTCCCTCACGGCCATCCAACTCGCAAACGTGGTTCCAGGTCCTTTTCTGAAAGAAAATACGGCAACCCGCACAGTTTTGAGCCTATCAAAGGAATCATTTGAACGAGACAATGTCGGTGTGTGTGTGTGATACCAGCCTTGTTCTCGCTAGGGATACTCGAGAGACGTCACTCTGCCGCCTATGTGCTCCCAATTGTGGCCACGCTCGCAGGTCGATGATTGTAGCAGAGGATAACCGGGATTAAACTACTTGCCAAAATTGGTCTCAACGACTCTGAAACAGGGCATGTTCTAATCGAGCCTGTGGGCTTGCTCTCGACTGAGGTTTCGGGTCGAATATTTGTCTTACTCACTCATCGCTCGATCTCAACAAAGGTATCTCTCCTAGCTCTGCGTTATGATCCGTGCGGAATGCTTCCAGGCTGTCTCGATAGGCAACATGCTGCACTTGTTTCAGTACAGACCGCCCAAAGGCAACCAAGGCCAAGCCTCGCCATCAGCTGCCGTGATCTTTTGCGGACGGCTCAATCTGCCCCGTCATTTCTAAGCCCCTAAAACCAAAAAAACCTGGTGTGCCGAAACCTCCCACAATGCGGCGTTCCTTAGTGCATACCTTGTCGCTCGCTGTCACTGCACGCTGCCGGCGGTGGGAGATTCGAACAGCACGGCACAGCACCGCCGTCCGGTCAAGGAACATGGCTCTCTTTATTCCCTCATTTGGCATGGACATTGATTGGTCGATTCAATTCTGAAGCTCTGAGATTGCAGGTCATTTGTACAACGCCTCAATGGACATTGTCTGCACCGCGTTACGAAATTGACAGTACGAGCAAGAACGGTCTAGCTTCCGCAAAGTTACACTGACCCAGGGAACTGGTTTGACAGATTCGCCTGTAGATGCGACCAGCGAATTTTGTGCAGATGCTGCTCATCCAGAAACCCTGCACTGCATGTCCACCGACGTAGCTCACGCCACGAAGAGCGCTGAAATGCGGCTTGGAACGCTTGTAAACCCTATACATAGGCGTTCTCAAACACAGGTGTTCTCCTTATCTCGGGAACGGAAAAAGAAAGGTCGAACAGTGGGTGAGCGGAACTTTCGCGTCATGTTGCCGCGCCTTGACGTGGGTCCAGCCATCCCCTCGAAGGACCTGGGGCAACAGAAAATTCCTTCCATCTCACGATAATGCACCGCCTAAAGCGCATTGGAAGCTGCCAGACCTGGGTTCACTTATATCATAGACACAGTCTCTGTGAAGAGTGATGAAAACCTGAGCGCTTCCTGTTTCGGTGTGCCCCGGACTTGAACATGCGTGTGTGCTTCGACGTACTACTTTCGTGTTTGGGGATCACTTATGTGGATTGAAATTGCTTCAAACGTGCACAAGAGAATCACGGTGGTATACAAGTGCTACTACCTCCATTGAACCAAAATGAGAGGTGTACGAGTCGCATCGCAAAAGACTCCACTTTCATCAGGGGTGTAACCTCACTGCTGATACACCTTACAGCGATATTTGAGCTAAGGGCAGGAAAGAAGACTGCAATATATTACCAAAATCCAAGGGCCAGTCAGAGAATTAGCAAGATCAGATTCAAGCTAAAGCACGACAGACCAAATCAATTGTCTATCTATTTTTACATCATCGAGACATAAACACTTGCGCTCTCCGATAACGGCCCCGGCGTTGCAGTCGATTACAGAGAACTGAGTCAAGCACGCAATACTGGTAACATAGCTAGCTTAAGTCGTTTTCTCTGTGCTGCGTGGCAGCAGCCGATCGGCCGAAAAAGATGTATGATATGCCAGTACATTTGGCTTAAAGTCTCCACAAATTTTACTTGTTCCTTATTGGTCCTTTCACAGCATGTCAGGCAGTGACCAAAATCTCATTTATCTTCTCTCATGACGATTTCGGAAGGACCTCCGAGATTTGCGTCCAGTACCAACGCTAGTCTATCGACATCATGTATAACTAGCCTGTCAAAATCTCGCTGTATCGTGCTGATCGGGTAACACGTTGGCAACACATTATGACAGCCCAAGCAAGAGGAAGAGGCGGGAGGACCTTTCGTACCGCCCACCGTTTCTGTGCTCCAACAAACCCATCACTTGCCCTCGCTTCTGACGGGTGCGACGGACGGGTTTGCTTCTACTCGACATCGACAGCGGACACAGCCAAGGGCACCCTTGCTTGTTTGCCGCATAAAGGCAATACTCGCTCTCTGGACTTAGGAACCACTGCGAACTGGCAACACAGATGACGATGCACGCGAGACATGCTACCTTGTAGAGCCTTGAAGGGTCACGCAGTATTCGAGGTTGGACGTAATACACGTCCTCAGTAGGTTCTGACAGGCACATGCCGTGATGCGAATAAGCTTTGTGGCGCTTTTGGTGCCGTGTAACGAGCCTGAGAATATGTAAGTCACGTGTCGCCCCGCCTCAAAGGAGCACTCTCAAGCGATTGTAATATTGGGCAGCCGTTCTGAAAATATGTAATACCCGACTCGACTTTGGTGCACTGTTGTCGAAGCAAAATTACCAAATTTTCTGTGGCAGTACCACATGAAAAGCACCCGGCCAACTCTTCTCATTTAAGGTCACTTGCACAACCGCAGGACCGCTCTATTCATGCATGCTCATATCAATCTATATTCCTGGCCACCAACGCTATCATAGGCTACGGTACGCGATCTCAACTCCGATTGAGGACGGGATACTAACACAACGCTATGGTCAGCTCAGCGCCGCGAGCCTGGCCCACGTCCGATCGATCGTACCATCACAGAACCCACCTGTCAGTCATCACTGGCAAAATTAGGTCGCCGTTAGAGCTCACTAGACAATATTCGGATGCTACCTGGGCCATGTCAACAGAACACTTGATCATATGCATGAAAGGGCCACGCGTACCAGGATGGCCACAGCATATCCCTGACAGTTGAGAGGTCGCACTGTACAACGACTCTTGCCCCAAAAATGTACAAAACAGGCAATGAGAGTTCGCAAGCCTCACTATCTGGCCATAATTACCCCTCTTAACGTTCTGGAGAGTCGCCGACCTTGATGCAACGGGCTCATTTAGGCCGCTTCTCCAGTCCAAACCACTTCGAGAATATCTGCACTTCCTATGGCCGGCGCCTACTCGCCAGCACATCAAGGTCGCACGGACATTAATCGGCGTCTTCTTCCGTAGCGAGATATCAAAGTGCTCTCATCTCCACTGGCTCTATCACACAAATCCATTGGCCCGGGAGCCTTCCCGTCTTCCGTGGTCTGTTCGTCCATGCCAGAAATTTTCCGGTGAACGTGGTTACCAATGTTCATACTGGTGTATATACATGCGTTTATGGAGGAGTGAGAATGTGCAGAGGGAGCCAGGGCGGGGAATGCGAGATGCCTTTCCTTTGCCGTGAGCCAGATACTTTGATAGCGGATGCATGCATGGTTCGTTGGACTCTTTTGCTCGGTATATGGCCATACGTTGTACGGAAATAGCGACGTAATGTCTATCCGTTCTATGGCCATACAACGATTTGAATTCGAAGTCTTTTCAGGAATTTGGCATGCCGGGCAATTTTGTGCCAACAGGATTTCGTTTAGTCGTACGCGATGAACAAGGAGCAAGCTCTTTTCTCGTATGTCGAAAAAGAAAAGACATACTATAGCTTGCGACGAGCAATGCTCGCCTCTCATCTTGCTAAGATGGTCGGAGATGTTAGCTTCGTGTATATTTATTCCATTTCACGTATATTATGCGACACAATCGTGCTCTTTTGTACCTCAGTTCATGAGCGTAGACTCCTGGATGAATCTTCAACTGATATCCGTCTTGTACATTAATGGCAGTTCTGCTGCGTCAATTCTATCAAGTTTCTTCTGTATCTTTACAGGTTTCTACAGTGTTGCTTCGGATACCAAATTAAAAGCACATGGTGTGGACTGATCGGCATGATGCGCAGCGCTGCCTACTGCAGGTTCTCACCTACGATGGAAAGCGACCAGGGTGCCTGGAGCTACGCACGGGGCCTTGCTGTCCTAATTGAAGCGTGTTGATAATGTGTTTAGTTTGGGGCTCTTAGATACCCTTGTTTACTTTCTGTCGTAGTTGACAACCTGCAGGACGATATGGTGGCGGTGGCTGAGCAGGGATGCAAGGCAGCCGAGCTCAGCTCTCTCGAACACCCCACGGACACTCTTCTCTCTCTTGTCTCGGCCATTGCAAACTTTATCGCCATTAGACGCGAGTTTCATAAAACCGCTCTATCAGTACCCACCGACTTTCCTGTCAAGATGGAGGCATTGGCCGCCGTCAGCCTCGCAGGAAACATCTTGCAGTTCATCCACACCACGAAGGAATTGCTCTTGATAAGCCACCAATTGTCAGAGTCTGGAGCGAAGAGCGAAAACATAGAGCTTGAAATAATTGCCAAAAGCTTGCGCGCACGTGTGGAACGTCTTGACGTACCCAGAACTGCAGTCACGACTCATAGGCGAGGTAGCAACGACTCTTTGGAATCTCTAGCCGTGAAATGTAAGGAGATCGTGGACGAGATTCTTGCAGTACTTGTCAAGCTTAAACTAGAGAATGATAGCAGCAAGTGGGAGGGTCTTCATCAAGCGCTAAGAGCCAAATGGCATGAACGAGAGATCGACGCCCTCCGCAAGAGGCTCAACGACATCGGACAAGCGGTCAACGTGTGTCTTGCAGAAGAAGGCACTGCCACCACACATGAGCTTCTGGATTACCTCATCGGAAAGAATCGCGCACTGGAAATCTCTCGAGCGCAAGAACTCAAGGAACTCCGAGCCTTTTTTGACGAAGCCTTGGCAGACAACCGTGAAAAACTCTTGGACGAAGGGAGGTTGGCGAATCAAATGCATAAGACCGTATCTTGGGGCTTAAGCTATTCGGCAGAACAGCTCATCTTGTCCAAGCTGCACTTTAACCGTCTGGACGATCGCTATTCATCCATCTCGACCGCTCATCGCAATACCTTGAGCTGGCTATTCGAATCCGAGGAAGGATGCGGACAGGATATCAGAGTCACGACTTTTGGTGCGTGGTTACAGTCTGACCATGATCTGTACTGGATCTCGGGTCGCCCAGGATCTGGGAAGTCCACATTGATGAAGTTTCTCTGCGACCATCCGTCCACAGCTAAGCATTTGAAGACTTGGGCAGGCGATGAGGTCATTGTTGCAGAGTATTTCTTCTGGAACGCAGGAAAGAACGAACTCCAAAAGTCACAAGAAGGTCTGGTCCGGTCTCTGCTTTATCAGGTCTTGCGCAAGTGTCCAGACAATATTCGTCTCGTCTTTCCTGGGGCTTGGCGACTGTACAAGGGCAACGGGGACGTAGAACCTCATAGTACGGATTCAACGTTGGCAACAGAAGTTCCGCTTGATATGAGAGGGTTGCTGAATGCTCTAAAACACACCTGTGCTTTTCTCGAGCAGTCGGACAGGAGGCTTTGCTTCTTCATCGATGGACTGGATGAATACGTTGGTGCCACAGTAGATGTTATCGAGCTTACTGCTGTACTGCGGAAACTTCCAAATGTCAAGCTCTGCATATCTAGTCGTCAGTGGAATGAATTCGAGGACGCGTACGGGGAGTCTAGGTCCACCAAGCTTTACATGCAAGATTTCAACAGCAAGGACATCAACGCATACATAGACGATGTGCTGAAGAATGACCATAACTATCAAGAGCTTGAGGATCAGGAGGTACAAGGGGAAGCACTGATAGAGGAGATTGTTGCAGCTGCCAACGGAGTATTCTTATGGGTCGTTTTGGTAGTACGCTCGTTCCAGGAGGGTTTGCGCCAGGGCGACAGCATCACGCGCCTGCGGAATCGACTTCGCGAGTTGCCGACTAACCTGGAGGAGTACTTCGAACGGATTTTGTTCCACGATGTGCAGAAGACTTATCGCGATCAGGCCGCGCAGATGTTTCTCGTAGCACTGGCGGCGAAGGAAAACCTCCCACTGATGGCGTACTGGTTCTTGGACGAGCAAGAGCTTCCTACTGAACGCCAAGAGCTGAAAGCACAGCAGACGAGTAAGAGACATAGGGCTGCTAAGAAGCGCTTGATCGCGAGTTGTAAAGGGCTGTTGGAACCTTACTTCCAGTCCACCGTAGATGAAAACGAATCCCTTCCGTCTAGCGTTCTCTTTCAACAGAGGGTCGACTTTTTACATCGTACAGTCCGCGACTACTTGGCGCTTCCAACAACTGACATTAAACACTGGGCATCCGCCAACTTTGACGCAAACGAAGCTATCTGTAGAGTGTTGTACGCGCAGATTATGACCGCACCTCAAAGTCGCGAATACGGACCACAAATTTCGGCGCTGTACCAGATCTTCGCCTTTCATGCGAACATAGCTCAAAATTCACATACATATTGTGAATCGATAAAAGCGCTTAATGGCAATCTTGAAGTCGTTTTGTCCGAGTATGGGGTGGCAGTTGAGAGGGATTTGGGTACTGGAGGTTCTGCGGCGGAGATTTGCGATGCAGAAACCCCCGTATTGGTTGTTTCTCCGATGCCAAAAGAAAACAAGCATTCCATCTCCACACTAAAAGTATGGACTTCAAAGTTGAAATGGCGGAGGTCGAAGGGCACAGGAAACGAGAAGCAATCCTGATGAACATCGTAGACAAGCATTTCCAGTACCTCAGTAAAACTACAGCAACAAAGCTATGACAAAGTGTGATCAGCTTCAAGATTTTTAGCCTTCCAGAGCATGCTTATAATAAGGCTTTGAATCATAGAAGGCCTACATGTGGCTTTCCAGTTACTCTTCAATAGTGCACAGAACTTAATCAGAGCGCGTAAAAGTTATCATTGGGCCTGCATCCATTCTTCTATTCGCTATATATATTCCCAGATTAAATGGTTTCAATCCAAGGTAAAATGCTCGGTCAATGTGCTCATCTCTCTGCTTTCACCATTCATCATTCTGTGGACGTAGGCTTCTCCAATATTCTGATAACCGGAGATGTGTACGGATGGACGGAATATGTATGGTACTCGACTGCCATGTGGTATGCATACCAAATCCCCACTTCTGCTGGCTTTTGGAACAAGACAGAAACGACCGCTTCTTGTGACAGCGAACCTACGATCATGACATGGATAGCATGCGGCATAGAAAATTTGAATAGACTCTGTTTCCTCGGCTTCTGAATTTTCAATGAAATTGAGAAACTCCTGTGCACGATCAAGGCGAGTTTGATCGCTTGATGAGAGATCTTCCCATATATGACTGCAACCCCGAGCTTGAACGGTATCCGCGTAGTCGAGCATAACATTTGCGTCATTTCTCGTGTTGGGCGTGACTGACCTGGCGAAATCGAACCATTCGGTATAGAAATAGCAGTTGTCACCACTTACAGTGTAGTGATCACAGTGGCGGCGTGGGGGCATGTATTCGCTAGTATCCGAGATGACGTCAACTTTCATGCCAATAAATTCAATGGTAGCTCTCTGGGTAGTTGATGCACCAAATATCACTCCATATAAGTCTGCGGAGGATACATGGCTGGACGCAGCGAAGCGGGACGCGGGGTGGTTAAGCAGGAATCGCTTCGTGCGGATCGTCCAATCTGGAATCCAAGACGGTAGGTGCCGTACGGTGTCGTCAACTAGGGAGAAGCTCAAAGGCTGACCAGATGTTGTGTTGAGATCTTGTGAAGCTCTGTAATTACCCTGATCACTAGTGCCCTCAAGGTTCAATGGCAACTTGAGCTGGCTCGGTTCTTGCTCCAGATATTTCGCAATGGAATAACCTACGTTCACATAGTCTCCTGAATACACCACGGATGCCTGGCAGCTTCGCAATGAGAGAAGTATGTCCGATAGTGATATTCGTGATCCGCGGAGGTCATGGTACCCGCAACGCATAGCTTCGGCCAGAATTGCAACCATGGTGGAAGATGAACGCAGTGTTGTTGCCGGAACATATAGCAACCAGAAAAGTAGGACTCGGGCGAACTGGCTCCATGGAATGTCATCTGCCCCATCGTATATCACGGGGTTCTTGGAGCAGACGATATCTTGTACGATCCAGAGCCTAGATTCCATGAATAAGCCAGTGAAAAATGCTTGTTATGTGTCGCACTTGCCTTTTGAAGTACATCTCATTGAGGAATTCATCGACTCTGGCACATATAATGGGATCAATCCCTGGTAGCACAGTTCCAGCATGTCGCAAATGTCTATCTCTTATTCGCTGTGTTGAATGATAAATGTCTGCAGACGAGAAAGACTCAGAAACCATCGTCTCGAAGTCTTGACTGCGACATGTCATGGCAATGAGTGTCCTTAACGATGAAGGTGACTCAATGCCTATCCAACATAGCGTACGGGCAGCTCTCTCATACATGAGGGGTATCATCGAAATCGTAGTCGGTCTGTCCCGATTTCCGGCAATGTCAATGCACAGGGCATCTACCCAAAAGTACGCAATGCTTCGAAACTGATGTATCGATTTTAGGAACACATACAAGTTCGGTGTGATGTCTGTCACCTTCCTATCACATTCGATAGTTACGACAGAAGCGGCTGAGCCCCACACGTACGACAACGCTTCATACGAAGGCGCGTTTTTGATTGGAAAATCGCATGTTTCCAGCCTCAAAGAGTCGGATGTAGTAGTCGTGGGAAGGAATTTTACTAAGCGAATTTGAGCCTCGTCATCTTTCAACATCTCGTGGCGCGGATCTGTCATATTGCCAGTTTTGTGATTGATCTGTGGGTGGGTCAAGCTTGTGAAGGGCACTTCCAAGGTTCCTCGCGGACACGGGCACGGAAAGTTGCCGAATATTAACTCGATTGGGGCCAAAAGTGAGGGGCATCTATGTATGTGAGGCTGAACTTTTAAGACACCGGCCTTGGCCTAGGATCGCCGACGCCTGTACAGTTTGCCTTACATTTAACATAGTAATTTTTATGTTTACTTGAGGTATAGACTAAGGCTCACGTAAAATATGATCTCGAGATGGCAATTGAGCCCCCCGAACGCATCCAACGGAAAGCGCAAAGCTAGACCTGGATCGCCGCTCAAGACACATCGTCCAAAAAGCCACATGAGTAGAAATCAAGCCCTGTTGCTGCATCTGATCTCAAAGGTACTGATAGAGTGCTCAAGCCGTGAACATGCGCATCAAACTAGCTGTATTTACGTTAAAAAAATGCCTACATGCTCACAAAATCCTCTGCCGGTATTGAAATCTGCTGTCTGCCACATTCGATCTCTCACTGAAGCGAATGTAAGAGTGAGCGCGCGCAACATCTGCCATCGAAGAGTGGAAATTATGAATGCCTGTGCGACTCTTGTTCTTCTCGCGCAGATGTCCCCTGGGAATTACTAACAGGTGCAATTGTCATGCTCAATGAAACGACACGCGGACTGCCTCTGCATTTTCCAGGACACGATTGCATGTGCTGATGAGTGAAGTAGCTTCGAGCGAACAAAGTCAATGAAGACGATCATGATTTGATGTAATATACAGTATGATAAGATGTGAACAAAGCGACGCCAATGCGCCTTCGCGGACCATAGGTCCTTAGTTGCGCCCCCGATTGAATTGGGCTATGAAAGAACCAATTTCCGTAAGACATCCGAAACGCCCTCTGAGCCGACCATTGGGTATCAAACACCCTCCATGCTGAGCCTCAACTATGCTACTCTCCACTGACGGTTCCTCTAATCGCTCTCATCATCCTCAAAACTAGGCTCACTCGCCTCATCCGAATCCATCTCGTCGTCGCTGACGACGTACTTCGCAGGTGCAGCAGCGGCACGGCGACCAGGTCGAGCAGCAGGAGCGCGCGCGGCTGGCTTAGGCGTCGGCTCATCCTCGTCTTCGTCGGACAGGAGGTCATTCGCGATCGCATCCGCATCTTCCATGTCGTCGTCCGATTCGACGGCGACAGGCTTCTTCGCCTTGGCCGCCGGCTTTGACAATGCTCCAGTCGTCTTCGCCAACTTGGCGGCATAAGCCTTCGCTGCAGGGCTCAGTGCAGTGCTCTTCTTCGCAACAAGAGTGGAAGAGGCCTTGGGCTTCGCAGCAGCCTTAGGAGCGGCGAGCTTGGGCTTAGCAGTCAGCTTAGGAGCGGGCTTCTTGATCACGACATCAGAGTCGTCATCCGAGCTCATAATGGTATCGTGGACGTTGCGAGGAGCCGGCCGCTTCGGACTAGGCTGCGGCACCAACCCTTCGTAATTGGTGGTATCGTCGTCGATCTCGATAGGGCTATTTCTCTTTGCGGCCTTCGCACCTCCAGCAGCGCTGGCTGGACGAGCACTTCCGTTGCTGACGGGACGGGCAGCGCTTGTTGCCTTGAACAGTGGAACTCCATTACTGCCAGCAGCACCAATGGTCTTGACCATGGTGCTAACGTCGCCAAGTAGATCTCCATCGTCAGAGTCGCTGTCGCTGTTGTCGATGTTGTATTTTGGCATTTGTTTGGTCGCACCACGTCCACCGCGAGCAGCCGCAACGGGCTTCTTCTTCTCGATCTCTTTGGCAACCGCAGCGAAGACATCCGAGTCATCGTCAGAGACGACGACTGGTGCATTCTTGGTGATCTTTGCGGCAGCTGGGCGGGCACGCTTGGTGACTGGCGCGTCTTCCTCCTCGGCAGGGGGATCGTCTGATGCCCCGTCAACTTGCGGTGTGCTTTCCTTCTTGACAAGATGCGTGAGCAAAGTCCCTTGCTTCGGCGGAGCTGTTGAGCCAAAGGCTGTGCTACTCTTGAGCGCTGCTGCCGCATTTGGCTTCTTCACGGGCTCCTCCTGGCGCAGGTAACTCAGCAGACCCTCTTTCTTCGGCTTGGCCTTCTTCTTAGCTGGACCAAAGTCCGATCCAGAGTCATCATCTGAGTCGGTATCACCTGCCTTTCTCTTCTTCTTCTTGCCCTTGGCTCCGTCGATGCCGAGCTTCTTGGAAGCACGACGTGTGATACCTGCAATCTTCTTCTTGCGCTTCACGTCTTCTTCGAGCTGAAGGTTCCACTCATCCACGAAGGCGTCCAAGTCCACATTCCAAATGTCCTTAGGCGAGAGCTTGATGAGAGTGTCGACCTCTTCCTCCTTGTCGCCGATCTGCTTGCGGAGCTTCTCGACACGCTCTTGGGTCAAGGACCAAATGGCCATGCCCAAAAGATAGTCGTAATCACTGGCGCTGATTTCCAGTTCAGTTTCCTCGTCCTCGTCTTCTTCCTGAACATCTTCTGTCTCGCCGGCCTTCTTGGCATCTTCGGCCTTCGAAAATGGCGTAAAGTTGAGCTTCCTCAGCTCAGCAACAAGGACCGCCTTCTTCTTCTTAGAGACGACAAGCTTGCCTTCAATGATCATCTGAATAAAGCGAGCCTGGTTATTCATCCTGGATAGCTCCTTCTCCATGACTTCCAACTGATGCTGCTTGCGCTTCTCGTAGTATCGGAGTCGCACATGGTAAAACTCTTCCATGATGTCGAGTACCGAGGCGTACTTGTGAATCCGGCCTTGCGCGTCGAAAGCCACCAGATTCGAAGTTGACTGCTTGGAGTACAGCTTGAATGTCTCTTCTAGACCCTTTTGCACCGCGTTCAACATGTGTTTGTCTTCCATCTTGATGATGAAGTGAACGCGGTCTGGCGTGTTGTAGTCTATGTAGTCCTTGATGAAAGCCGGGGTCTTCTCGGCCTTGATGATGTCCTCGAGCTTCTCCTTGAAGTCCTGAGTCCAGTAGCGCACTGGAAGTTCAGTGACTTCGAGCTCATTCTCACCAGTCTGACGGATAGTACCTGTGAACTGGAAGCGGTCGGCCGCGAGAGTCTCAGTAGTGCCAGTGAAACCCTTATACCAAGGAGTCATGGGCTTCATGTCCTCTTTCGATGCGCCATCTTGCAGACGAATCCTGATGTTATCGATGATGTCCATGGGATTGAAGTTAGGGATTTCAGAACTCCAACCAGTACCAATACCACTGGATCCGTTGACGAGGATTGTGGGGAGCACAGGTATGAACATCTCAGGCTCGATCTTGTGGCCATCTGATTCTCCATACTTAAGGAGGGCATCGTCGTGAGCGTGGAACAACCTACGCGCAAATGGAGAGAGGCGAGTGTAAATGTACCTGGCGCTGGCAGCGTCGGCACCACCTCTTAGACGAGAACCGAAGTTACCACTGGGTTCCAAGTAGTTGATGTTGTTCGAACCGACGAAGTTCTGGGCTAGACCAACGATAGTGCCCTGCATGGAAGCTTCACCGTGGGCATAGTCGGTGGATCCAGAAACGGAACCAGCCAACTCAACCACTTTGACATCCTTCTTGATATTGCGTCGGAAACAAGTATAGAGGACTTTGCGTTGACCAGGCTTAAGACCATCCATAACGGAGGGAATGGAACGCAGATTGTCGGCAATCGAGAAGAGAATAAACTCCTTGTTGACGAAGTCATCGTAAGAGATCTCAGGCGTCGTGAGATCCAAGTGGTTGCCAGGTACGAAGTTGCCGAGCCACTCTTTACGCGCATCAGCCTTCTTCTTGGAGAAGGCCAGCTCGATGAGCTTCTCCTCTTCGGCGCGCATCACTTGGAAGCGCTTCATGTGGGTGTCAAGATCCTTGAAATACACTTGAGCGTCGGGAATGTCGCTAGTACCCAATCCCTTGAAGTACTTGTGGTCCCATCCTTTCTCCAGCTTGTGCTGCTCCTTCCACTCCTCGTACTCGGGCATAGAGAAGAAGCTCTTGAGGCTTCGCGGGTGCTTTGGATCGCCCTTCCAAACCTTGACGATAGGTGTGATGAATTCGAGGAGGAAGCCAGGAATCCTGAGCAAACTAGGAAATTGGCACTGTAGGAAGTTGATGAGAAGTCCCTTGATATGGCTACCGTCGTGATCTTGATCCGTCATGATCATGAGATGGCCGTACCGCAATCCTTTCATATCTGCGACAGTGTAGTCTTTCTTGTGCTGCAAACCCATGAATTTCTTGATATTCTGGATCTCTTGGTTCTTGAGAATCTGATCAACGCTCGCATCGCGAACATTCAGAAGTTTACCACGCAGTGGAAACACACCGAACAGATCTTGATTCACAACAGCACGTCCAGCCAACGCGAGTACACTGGCTGACTCACCCTCAGTGAGAATAAGAGTGCAGAGGTGACCGTCTTTGGTACCAGCCTTGTTGGCATCGGTCAGCTTAGCGTTATTGATACGGTTGCGCTTGTTGCCGTCCGTCTTCTTCAACATCTTGTCTGCAGTTTGCTGCGCGAAATGCATGATGTTCTGGATGACTTCTGTCTTCTCAATGGCTTTCAAGAACTTGTCGGTGAGGACAGGCTTGCTGCCGAACTGACTTGCCTTGGTCGTCAGTTGCTCCTTGGTCTGCGATGTGAAAGCCGGGTTGACAATCGAACAGTTGACGAACAAGAAGATGTGATTCTTGATCTGTGCAGGCTTCAGCTTCACGGCAGCTTTATTCTTCTTCATGACCGCCATGAGCTTCTCGACGATCTGATCAGAAATGTAGTTGACGTGAGTTCCTCCGGATGTCGTTGCAATCGAGTTGACGAAGGACACCTGGTTGAAAGAGCCGTCTGACACAGCAAAACCAATGTCCCAGCGATCGTGCTTGTCGGTGATGATGACGTCCTTTTGCTTGTCGTCTTCGTTGTTGCCCTGCTCGCGTGCAATGGCCTTCGTGTACATCTCCATGTACTTTGCGAACGAAGTTACTTTGACACGCTCCTTGTTGAGATAGACCTTGATGCCTCGGAGGGTTCCTGCCATATCGTATGTTCGGCGTTTGATCAGTGCCTCGAAGTCGTCATCGATACCGTCCATGCCGAACCTCTTGTAATCGGCCTTCCAGGAGATTTTAGTGTAGTCGTCGCCCGACTTGAAATCTGTTATTTTGGCCTTGCCCATGACACTCATGTTCTCGGTCCATGTCTGCCTGTACTTCTTCTTCTGCTTAGAGTCGACAGTCTCGACGGTGAACTCTTTACTGAAGACGTTGCAAAGCTTTGCACCATAACCGTTGCGACCACCGGTGACCTTTTGCTGGTTGTCATCGTAGTTGGACGAGGTGAGAAGGTGGCCGAAAATCATCTCAGGGACGTAGATGCCGTGCTCTGCGTGTACCTCAATAGGTATACCCTTGCCGTCGTTCAGTATGGACACTTCTCCCGACTCGCGATCGACTGTGACACGGATCTCGCTCATGTTCTTGTCGTTTTGCTTGTTGTCGGCGGCGTTGACAAGGATCTCGTCGAAGATCTTGTAGAGACCTGGGACATACGATACGTCGCGGTATTCCATGCTCTCGGTTGTGGAGTTGTACACCCACATCTTGTCTGTCTGGCGCTCGACGGAGCCGATGTATGTGTCTGGTCGCTTCATGATGTGTTCCAAATGGGTCAACTGCGCGATTGTTAACATAGGCATAGCTTGGTTCATGGTGCAGCACCCACCATCTGGTATTTGCTGCTGGCACCGCTTGAGGCCTTTTTCACCGCTGCAGCATCGAAACTCTCGTTGTCGATGTCAGCCAGTGGCTTGCCGCTGGTCTTCTTCGGGGCAGGTGCCTTCTTCTGCTTCGGAGGAGTGTCCTGGAGGAGCGACTCGTCATCGTCGAGCGGATCCTCGGCCATATCGATGTCTGAGTTCTCCTCATCGCTAACCACCTTCTTCTTCTTTGGAGGCGCCTTGGCCTTTGGCTTCGCGGTTGCGCCTGCCGGCCGCCCTCGAGGCTTTGCTGGTGCTGCGGCTTTCTTGGGTGGGGCCTTGGCCTTGGTAACCTTTGCGGGCTTCGCTGGAGGCTCGAAGTTTTCGCTGCCGCCGTCGCTGAAGACCGAGTCGTCCATCATCGAGTCGTCCATGGCGGGCTGTGGGCGATTGCAGTTGGCTGCAAGCCGGCGAAGTTGGGTAAAAGAAGGAAACGGCTCAGACTCGCGGGATCTGAGCGGGTGGCATGGGGTTAGTAGAAGGAACGAGGGTGGTGGTGAGAAACGTGGAGGGGCTGTCGTGTTTAGGAGGGCCGTCGTTTGTTTTGGACGCGTTGTTGTCCAGGGCCCGGGGGCGCTAACGGAACTAGTGCTAGCGCGTCCTGCATGAACGTGAGAGATGAAAGGTGAAAGTTTCTTCGCCAACTCGCTGTGAAAGGTGATCGCGTCGCTGAACGTAGCGCTGTAGCGGATTCTCGGCATGCATACTCTGTGGAGCGGGATGAAGTCCTATTCCAGAACAGTTGTAGCTCCATCGTGAAAAGGAGGCACCATTTCAATTTTGTTGTATAAACTTCCAGCGCGTATTGTAGCCCGCAACACGCCCCTGTACGCGTCTGCTTCGCGATTTGGTGATAGTAGCATTGCTATGAGGGCTTTGTGTAATAGCAGCACGCCTATGGATGTAGGGATGCGCGTTGCTTCGCCAAATGCGCGTGAAGAGTCTGTGCCAAGCACCCTCGTAGAAGACCAATCCCCACACCACATAGCTGTTCTCGGACTACGAAATTGTGCAGCATGTCAACTCGATTCGAGTTTCCACACTTTTTGAGACGTGCAAAGTACCCTGCACTGAGGAAAAATCGTGACTTACTACCAGACTTTGAGACAAGTAATTTTTCCAACTCGTTCCCATCTGCAACTCTTTAATCAATGAGACCTCAAGATGCCCGACAACACTGGATCATTATGCGTAACCTACCTTCACTTTGCCAAAATAATACTCTCCATCTACCACACTCTCAATCCAAGATTCAATCAGAACACTACGCCGCTGATTTTGACAATTACTCATCAAGTTAAGTCCAAATTCATGTGGTTGAGGCAGTAGAGATATTTTTTCATATGATACTCGCGACTTTCCTTCATATCTTCAATGTACGAACAAGAAGTCATTACAGGCAAGCCAACAAGATGAGCATCAATAAACCATTATTTCCGCTAACTCATCCATCCATGCCATTACCACACTATCTCATTTCCAAATCTCCTCCATTCATCTACACAACCTTCGTAACCCCCATGCCCTCCACCCAAGGCTTCCAAAACTCATCAATGCCCTTCTGATAAAGCCAGCCCGTCCAATCACTATTCGTCATCCCCCATGTATCCACAAATCCCTGGATCCCCGAGCGAATTCGATAACTCCCAGCCACGCTCCACATCATCCAGCTAATCTTATGCTCCAAGGTGTACTCCTTCAGGCATTGGGTAAGTGTGTGGTTGAACAGCGTCTCATCCTGCGCCCAGCCAAATTCACTAATGATAACCGGCGTCTCGCGCACGGCCTTGGGGCAATCGCCGGTAACGTTGCATGCGGGCGGAGCGTCGAAGCCCATGGCGTTGAACCCGTTGCGGAAGAAGTTTGCTTTGATGATGTCGCAGGTGCCCGTGTCGATGTCTTCAGACATGCTGTAGAGGTGGATTTCCCAGACGAGTTTGTCGGCCCACGCGTGCGAGGCGAGGTCGAAGACTTTGGGTTCGCGGCGCGCGGCGTCTCGGATCGCGGTGCACTTGTAGCAGGGGGCCGTGAGATAGTTTTTGCCGGTGGTTAGGGCGGATAGGTCTTGCCCGTATTGCATGCCGGACCAGATGATGAGGATATTGGGGTTGGCGGCGTGAATGGCGTCGGCGCCGGCGGTCATGTTGCCCACGAGGGTCTCCCAGTTGTAGTAAAGGTCGGTGACGTTCCAGGATTCGCGGAGCTCGTTGCGGAGTGACATGCTGACGACGTTGGGGTGGTCTTGGGCCCATTTGGCGACGTAGGAGAGGCCGCGGCGCCCAGTGCGTGGCGTTGAAGTTGAGATCGTCGAACCAGGCGTTGCCATCGATGTGAGAGCAGCACCATTGTGCCTTTCCGACGTGGACGTCGGGGCTGATGAAGATGCCCTTTGTCGCAGCAATGCGGGTGATGTCGCTCCAGATCTCGAAGCGCGTGGTCTGGGTAGTCCAGCCGGGGTTCTTCTGAATGATTTCGTTGGTGACTTTGGTGCCATTTATGTAGCCCAGAGCATGGATCATGGCGACTTCAAGAGGCACATCTTCGCCGTTGCGATCGTAGACTTGGTCGATCATTTCAATGGCGTAGCCCATACGAATGTAGTTGAAGCCCACGCTCGCAATGTCGTCCAGGATCTCTTCTGCCGATGCCCATTCAAGACCCTCAGGAATCATGGTCTCACCTATTCCAAATGGTCAATGAATGTCTCTTTTCGACAGAGTATGGAAGACTCACCACTCATAGGCCAGTTCACACCAGCCCATGTGACCTTCTCTCCCTTACTGTCTACAATATCTCTTCCCTGCGTATTGTACGGCCCATTGAAGTTCGGCGAAGTGCCATTGGCAACTTGCCTTCGCGCATTGTACCGAAAGGGTGCATCGCTGTTGACAGCCGGGAGGTACCCAGCCGAAGCAACAGCGCCCGCAATCGCAGAGGTGAGTAAAACCTTGAGACCAAACATCTTGACTGTGGAGCTTACATCTCTAGAGGACGTACCCGACTTTTAAAGACCACAACAACCGAGGCGGCCTTGGTAGAGCCTCAACGTTCCATCGGCAACCTTGCTCAATGAACACGATAAAATGCTGATCTTCGTCACATGGAGCCGGGACATCGGCCCAATCCTGTCCGAACCCATCGTCATTGCAGGGAACTTCTCAAAAGCTGGAGATTTTGCGGGGAAGATGTGCCTGTCGATCGGAGCTCTTTCCGTACAATGACTAGCTGCCCCACGGATGCCCTTCCACTTTTGGACCGTGACTTCGGTGCCCAGGTTCTCGGCTATGTTCGAGCAATCATGAATTTTTCCGTCATGCGACCTGCATGGAAGACGAACGACCATGTTCGCGAAAACAAGGTTTGGTGGCTGGGACTGAAGAATGAATTGGAGAACCCCGGGCCAGCAATGCCCCTGCGATGAAGTACGGATGTAGTTTAATAAGAAGATGCTAGTACTCGTCTTCCTCACAGACAAGAATGATATTTTGTATTTGATGTGTGCTTCTATATGCTTCCCATCTACCATCTTGAACGCCGGTACAATGCGATGGACATAACGCTGGGTATATGCAATTAGATGTATTATAGTCGTGTCTCAGGAATGCCTCTTCAAGTTGCCACAGTCGTCTTTGACAAATTCGATCGTGGATTCGCGTCTTTTCGTAATTGTCGGACCAAAGCTTCGAGTCTTCTTCGTTCTTCTTGCTCGGCCTGGTGGTTTTGTTAGCATCTTTCATTGACGGGAACACCATGGATAAACTCACCCTCAGTGCCTTCAAGCCTTCAGCGGTTCGATCTCTCATCATCTTCCTGAAGTCCTCCCTCAACATCCTGATGCTCGTAGCTCCCATGTCAGGCTGTCCGGTAGCTGCTGGGCTGGGCATGCCTGGACTTCTTACACCAAGCCATTTGACTTTCTCGTCGCTCAGCTCACGCTCGAGGGCTTCCTTGTCGTCGCGCAGCTTATCTATCTGTGATTCGAGGATGTCACGATCCTTCTCATTCTGAATAGCGTCTCGAGTGAGGGCCTCGTACTCAGAAGCCATGCCCGACAGCTCGGCTTTGAGGTTGCGCTCAGATTGACGAGCTTCGGCTTCGGACTGAGAAGCTATATCTTGCACCTTTCGCAGCGCCGCGAGCTCATCAATGAGCGCTTGATTCTTCTCGGTCAATTCATCCAGCTCCTTCTTAATGGCTGGGTTGGCGGCAGAATCGGCAGCACGTTGTGCGCGAGTGCCGTAAGCTCCGTCGAGCTCCGCTTTGGCGAAAGTAAGCTCGGTGGTAAGACGCACAATTTCGCCCTCAAGGTTGCGGAACTCTTCTTCCTTGGCGTTCAAGCTGTTCGTAGTCTCAAGTGAACGTGCTTCTGCGGCTTCCTTGTCCATCGTCGCTTGTTTGAGAGCGGTCATGATATCGTCAATCTTCGCAGCAGAGTCCGAGAGTTCAGTCTGGATTGTAGCCTGTCTAGCCTGCTCCGCGCGGGCTTCGTCTTGCGTTTCTCTGAGTTTGTTTTCGAGAGCAACAGCGCGTTCCTGGGCGTCTCGTATCTGGGCCTCGTAGCTGGCACTACGTTCGCTGGCCTCCCGGACTTGTACGCTAGATGCACTGTGGTGCTCTTCTTTGTCTTGTAACTCTTTCTCGAGAGCCTGCGTGCGCTCCTCGGCTTCTTGCAGCTGCCTTTGGAAGGCAACCGCGCGTTCTTGTACATCCTTGAGTTGACTCTCATAGGCTATCGTGCGCTCCTTGGCACTCTTGAGGTCAGTTTCGAAGGCCACAGCCCGCTCCTGTACATTGATGAGTTGAGCCTCGAGTCCTGCATTGCGCTCTTGCAACGCTTGTGTCTCTGTCGGTGACTTTTGCCCATCAAACTGTTGCAATTGGCCAATTGCACGCTCCAATTCGTTCTCCATAGACATCTTCTCAGATCTTGCGCTAAGGACTTGATTGTTGAGTCTTTCGAAGTCCGCCTCTTTCTGGGCATCAGATTTGCTGTTCAGCTCACGCTGCTGCTTGATTTGACGCAGAAGCACGGATTGCTTATCCTTCAAACTGGTGGCACGGCGGAACAGCAACTGAACCTTGGCAGAAAATGCTGCAAGTGAGAACGCCTCGTTGGCGTTGTAGTCCTCGTCTGGTGATAGTTGTTCTTCGGCATCAGGGTCTTGTTCTAACAGGCGGCGGCGCTCACGTTTCCGTTCACGAGCTTCCTCCTCACCAGTCTGAATGGTCTGCCAAAGACTTTTGAGCGTGGTCTCGTACTTATCTGACAAGTCTGATTGCCCGTTGTTTTCGGCGTAGAATTTGAGATCATCAATCTGCTCTTTCAGCGCATACTGTGCTTGCTCCAGGTTATAGAACGCATTCTCCATGTAGTTCAGCTGTTCCGTAGGATCAGTACCCGTAACGGCAGGCGGCGGGGTAGTCTCTTCGGCTCCTTCGATGTTGGACCGGCTAAGCACAGCGTAAAGCTGATTGTTGATGCCTTCGAGGCGTCCTTCGACCTCGCTCAAAGGATGCCTGGATTTGCCTCTCATGTTCGCATGTTCGGTACTGATGTTGCGAAGACCCTCATCGAGAAGTTCGAGTTGGCGATCTAGTAAGGCGTTGGGCGATTCGCCTGGAGTACTTGGCGGTATAGCGAAGTCGGCGGCGCGCTCGGGATTGGACTGAGCAAGCAATGCTCTCAGCTTCTCGTTCATCTCCTGGAGGCGCCTTGCTGTCTTGCCCATGGCCTCGCTCTGACCCTCAGACGGCCCCGGTTGGTGGAGTACCCCGCTTTGCAGCACGTTCATCAGCGTGTCCAGGTTCTCTGGAGTGCGGTAGAAGCTCCTCTCGTCGAAGTACTCGTCACCACGCGCACCGTTCGTGCGCCCAATATCGTATGTTTCCAAACTTGCAGGACTGTCGGGTCTTCGATAACCGTCGTCCGACATGCCAGATCCATCGTTCCGCTTCTTGGGGCCCTTGTGTGTGAGCTGCAGCACGGCAGCGGTGTGCATCAGGAGTTGCATGTCGATCATGCGCATACGGGACTCAGTCTCCAAAAGATCCCTGATCAGCTCTTCGACCTTCTTGTTGCTAGCATCCAGACCCTCCTGCGACTTGAGATCCTGCACCGCATTGCTGCCCTTGCTGCCTACTCCACGGGAGTGCCCATTCTCCTTCTTCGATGCTAAACGGCTCAGCGAGCGTGTCGCATCACGTATCTTCGTCTCGGACTCCAGCTTCTTCCGCACTGTCACCAGCCGCGCATCCAGTGTCTTCTGCTCCTGCTTCAACGCCTCCACCTCTTCCACTGTGAGGACATCGAAGTATTGACTGTCGCCCATAGCCGTTTCCACTAGCAAGTGCATAGCCACTGGGTCTGTGTTCAGCACCTCAGAGTTGCGCTTCCTCAATGCGCGCGGTGTAAACGGCCCATGATCGTGCGCTGCCTCTTTGCGCCCGTCTCCGAAAACATCTGGTGGTGGAATGAAAGCACTGGCACCGAATCGCGGAGAGATCTGGTAGGCCATGGGATAGAAGCTGGGTGACGGAGCGCCTATGCCGGACGGGTAGTTGGAAGTCGGCGAAGGGAAGTCATACAGCGGGCGCGGGCTGAGAGCATTGTCGCCCGCCCATGTCTGCTGCCTGCGCAATGCTAGGCTGTTCATGTTGGTGTGTCGTCCAAAAATCGAGAAGCGCGAATCTTGAGTGCGAGGCGCAGGTGAAGTCCGGACGGAAAGAGCGGTTGGTATGTAGAGGACGGCCAGACCCGCAGTCGAGCGAGCAAGGAAGGAATTCACGGTGAGCGACGCATAGCGAGAATGTTGTCTTCACTCAGGAGAGCACGGCGCGCGAACTAGTAAGTAGCATCTTTCGCTGGGAGACGCTGGATGGTTGCGACATGGGTCTCAAAGGGGTACGGGCGGGATCACCGCGGCTAGCCTAGTCTGCTAGCGTTTGGCAGGACCACCTTCACCTCGAGGACCCACCGGGCGAGCCAGAATCGATTATAAATCGCTGTTTGCTTGACGACGCGTAATGCCAGCATTGGCATGAGCGGTCTCTTGTCGTACCGCTGTTATAGTCTCTGCTGCAATCCATTTGTTCTGTAAACTGCACGCTCGCTCTAACACAATTTTCCCACGTGTTGCATAAACGCCGATCAGCGACTACCAAATTGAGATTTGCACCAAACCATCATTGTACAGGCATCGACATGGCTGCGGACCGACCGAGAGTGATACTCACCAAAGATCAAGTTTCAAGCTACTTTGATCGACTGAAGATACCTGCGGAAAAGAGATCTTATGATGTCACGCCGTTGAAGGACGAGGACGCCTTGAAATATCTTGCACTGCTGCAGAAGCATCATCTCGCAGAAGTTCCTTTCGAGAACTTGACGCTGCACTATTCAGCGCATCACCAGATATCTTTACACCCAGACGAGCTGTTCAAGAAGATTATAGCAGACAACAATGGTCGCGGCGGGTATTGCATGGAGAACAATGCTCTGTTCGGAACGCTTCTCCGTTCCTTGGGGTTCAACATCTACTCTGGCGGCGGACGAGTATGGGAAAACAGCACTTGGACTGGCTGGGGTCACATGCTCAACTTCATTACCATCGGCGACACCAAGTACCACGTGGACGTAGGTTTTGGAAGTGAGGTACCATTGGTTCCGATGCCAATGGACCGTTCAGGCACTGTCCAACCGCACATCAGTCCGGCCACAGTGCGTCTACAATGGCGTAATATTCCTGGGAACACGGATCCGAGCCAGCGTCTGTGGGTGTACGAGTATCGGAGAGACGATGAAGCCGAGTGGGAGATGAGATACTGCTATAGCGAAGTAGAGTTCCTCCCGTGCGATTACTTCGCCATGAACTACTTCACATCGACGAGTCGCAAGTCGTTCTTCACGAGATTGGCCGTTATGGATAAGAAGCTGCTAGATGACGAAGGGGAGTACAAGGGAAGCATAATCCTGAACGGAAACACTCTCAAGCGGCGCATCCATGGTGTGAAGGAAGAGGAGGTCGTGTTCGAGACTGAAGCCGAGAGACTGGTCGCCCTCGAGAAGTTCTTCGGCATCCGGTTCGGTGAGGCAGAGCGAAATAGCATTATTGGGTTAGGATCGCAGCTCAAATAGACACAATATTGCACATAACACATGAAAATGAAGTAGACTGGTCGATTCAGATGTATCATGCTCGGTACTGACATGTTGGTGTCCGTTCCGCACCTCACGCTTAGATGAATCGCTGCTCGCACTGTACACTGTCAGTAGCTGCCCGTCATACTGCAGCCGCAATACGTACCCTCCATGGGTTGTTGAGCTCGAAGCCAGCCGGCGCAGCCGCCCTGTCGGTCTGTCCTCGCATGAAGCCGGTCAGGCGTCGATCGCGTTCCATCACTGTAGTTGTTCAGTATGTGAAATGAGGTCATCGTGAAGTGCTCATACTTTGCTGCAGAGCTGTTAGTAAGAGTTTCTAATGCGCCGGAGGAGTGTTAACTAACCTGATCCCACTGATCAATGCCGCGCCTGGGCCTCTTGCCTCCGTTCTGGATTTCCTTGAGCTTTCCGAGTGACACGGCGCTGAATGCGAAGAACTACAGGTGCCGTCAGCGGGGCCCGCGCAGGCCAATGGAGGCAGGCAACATACGCCGGTCATAACCGCATAGGGCAGCAGAGCCTCGAAGGGGACACCCATGATTGCGGTCGGGGGTGTGTCGCTGTGGTTGGGGTGGGTTGGGAAGGTCTTATCGCGCAGCCACGGGCGGAATCGTGAGAGGGTCGTCCGCAGCGCGCACGGGCATGCCTCACCAGACTCCAAAGCAAAGGGTACGCATCCTCAATCGGACAGAACGGCGCACCCACACATCGAGCCGCCCAGCTGCAATTATTCGCGGTGTCGCTCAGCACCACACATTCCTACGAACCGACTAAGAGCCTATTTCCGTGTCCCCGTTTGCGCCCATAATTGCGCGCGCTGGCGATCGACGCCCTCCGCATCCCCACAGCCACGAACAACGCGACTGCGGGCCTCTGGCATCATTGCCTGGCATCCCCAACGCATTTACGACTCCTATCAGGGCGCAAAAACACGGTACTGGTACGGTAGGCGCCTACACGGTTCGCGAAAACGCGCCACGACATCCGACGACGCGCCTGCCCACCACCACATGAACACATCACCACGGCGGCTCTCCCTCACGCGAACGACGCAGTAGAGACCACATATTGCACATACTACGAACCTGGCGTACCTTGCGTCCAAGCTAGCGGCTGTCGTCTCCTTCGCCATGGCGGAGCCCGGTAGGCTCATGGGCCAAACCGCGAGCAACGCCGACCCAGACGACATCGATGCTGATGGCGACTACGAGATGGACGACGAGTACGAGCAGGAACAGGTCGCAGGTGCACAGATATCACAACTTGATGGCCACAGCACAGACGCCGAAGGCTCCGACGTGGATGCTGAAGGTGAGGAAGTCGACGACGAAGAGGATGAAGCCTGAGCCAGTAGGCGCTGTCAAGATTGCCCTGCGCCGGCCTGCCTCTTCAGATGAGGAGGACGACTACAACGACGAAGAGGCTGTGGCCCACTCCTCTGACGCCAAGACCAGCGACAGCGAAGACGAGTCAGGCGCCGAGTCAGAAGAGGAAGCCCCGTGGCAGGCCGAGAGTGAGAATGGGGAAGAAGTCGAGGCTGCCAGATCTGATCCCAATGTGTGCATGTGAGTTTGTGACCGAGAAGCTGAAGATATAAATACTAATCTCTCGGCAGCTACTGCAACCAGGACGAAGAGAATGATCCAAGTCCAGAATATGAAGAGTATTTGTCATGCGGCGTGTGTGGTGACAATGGTATGTAAACCTGCGAGTTGTTTGACATTAGACCATCGGGAGCTGACATGATCTTTCGTACCTGCAGCACATCGGCAATGCGCCCGTGACGCTAACACGCTAAGCCCCGATGACGGTACAGTTGCCCTATTCGTCCATACATTGTTCTTTTTCACTGACAGTTGGTAGACGTAGATCAATGGCGATGTACCGCCTGTATACAAAATGATCTGCACAGAGAAAGCAATGATGAGGGCGAGCCATCGCAATCACTCACCCGCCGCAGGTTATCATCTTGTGCCCAAGCTGGCTAGGGACCTGCTTCCGTCACATCGCGGTGTCGATCCAGGCGGCCACTCTATTTTCAAGGAACCTCATTCTTCCTTGACGATGCCCCAGACGGCACTAACGGGCTTTAAGGGAAAACGAAAGGCCTCACACGAGGAAGAGCCAGTGGCGCAGCCCAGCCGCGGGAACAGAAACAAACAGAGGCCGTCAGAAGCTTCCAAATCACCGGTTGGCGGAACCTCAGTGAATGCGTCATCCCCTGCACTACGACCAAAAAGCGCTAGAAGCGCTCGCAGTGCTATCACCGAGGCTCATGATACAGAAGGCGAAGCGCAACAAACTGCTTCTGACAACGACGACGAGGACGACGAGACTCGTACACGATCGCGCCCAAGGCGCTCTAAGATGAAGAGGTCAAACGACAAAAGACCGCTTGCGTGGATCGAGGAGCAACAAGGCTTGAGTCTAATCATGGCCTTTCACCTCAATAATGAGAAAGTTCAGAAGATTGTTACGGCAAAGCCCAAGAAGAAGGTTCTTACCATAGAACAAGAGCGCCAGGAGCGACGGCGCGAACGAGACAGGGAGAGGCGCGAACGAAATAGGCGCGCTGCGCAGGCCGCCAGAGAGTCGCCGGAGCTCACTCACTATCCTGCTGTCCCAATACATTATAGCACACCATTCCACGGTTTCTCGGAAAAGGAAGACGAGAGCAAGAGCAAACCATATGGCGGTGTGCTCTCCGAGGCCGATGCTGACACGTCGAAAACATATCCCTCGCAGGCTGATCGGAAACGATTCGAAGAAGCCCGAGTAAAAGCAGAGGAAGAGTGGAAAGAGAAGCAAGACACACTCTACGCTCACCTCGACGTCATAAAGCCATCAAAGCAGACAGCCACCGCGAGCAAGATCAAGTGCGTCAACTTTGGTGGGTGGGAAATCGACACCTGGCACGCTGCGCCCTATCCGGAAGAATATAGCAAGAATAGGGTGCTTTACATCTGCGAGTTCTGTTTGAAATACATGAACTCGGACTATGTGGCATGGCGGCACAAGGTATGAAGACTCTTACACATCTTGTACGATAGTACTGACAAGTTACAGCTCAAGTGCCCTGCAAAGCACCCACCAGGCGACGAAATCTATCGTGACGGCAAGTACTCCTTCTTCGAAGTGGACGGCAGGAAGAATCCAGTCTACTGCCAAAACCTCTGTCTTTTAGCGAAGCTCTTCCTCGGCTCCAAGACGCTCTACTACGATGTGGAACCATTCCTCTTCTATGTCATGACAGAGAACGACAACTATGGATGTCACTTCGTTGGCTACTTCTCAAAGGAAAAGAGGCCTAGCTCACTCAACAACGTGTCCTGTATTCTCGTGCTACCCATCCACATGCGCAAGGGATACGGACAGTATCTGATTGAGTTCTCATATCTCCTCACACGGGTAGAGAGGAAAACTGGAAGTCCCGAAAAGCCTCTCAGTGACATGGGTCTAGTAAGTTACCGGAAATACTGGCGACTTGTTCTCTGCGAAGAGCTGCTACAACAGAAGGGGCCGATCAGCATATCAGCCATCTCAGACCGAACGGGCATGACAGCGGACGATATCGTGTCCGCGCTGGAAGGTCTGCGCGCTCTTGTGCGCGACCCTGTCACGAAGAAATACGCATTCCGACTAGATACGGGCTATTTCAAGCAGTACATCGAAAAGTGCAATGCTGCAGACAACCCGAAGATCAATCCCGATTGCTTGTTGTGGACGCCATATGTTATGGGTCGACTAGGTCAATATGAGGACGGACCTGCTTTGCAGACCGTACAGCAGCGTGATGAAGTCGAAGAGGAAGAGAAGCCGGTGCCCGAAGAGGGCGTGCAGATGGACGCCGCAGCCAAACAGAACGGGTCAACACAAGACCAGGACGGCGGGACTGGCGACGAAGCGGATCCATCAGTACCTGCACTCCCAGCTGAAGACTCCGTCAATGGCGGTTCACCAGCTCCAGGCACACCTCTTGCGAACGGCTCCACGATCGCACTTGCGGGATCACAAATGGCCACCAGCGAACCCGCGATTCCACCCTCGCGTTACGAGATCTTCCCTCCGATACCTGGCCAACCGGCATCTAGACGCCGACCTGGCCGCCCATTCGGAACACGGCGGCGCACAAGCACACCAAATCGAGCTCGTAATACCCCCCTCTCCATCCACACAGCCCCTGTATCCAAGATCCAACTTTCTCCCAGCCGCATCGCAAAAGGCTCTCCCTCGAACGGCGCGCTCACGCCTGGTACTATTCTCCGCCGCACGCGTAGTCGACTGGGCGAAAGCGTCACGAATGGCGACGACGTCGAAGAAGGCGGTGCCGTCAAAGCCGTCCTCACCAACGGCCGGCGAAGCACAAGAAGTTCAGCAAGCTCGCTGGGTAGTCCCCGCGTCGGCAAAGACATCAAGGGCAAAGGCAAGGCGCTACCCGTCGAAGAAGAGCAGGACGACCCAGACGCCGATGCTGACGGCGATTACGACGAAGAAGCAGACGAGGGAATGGACATTGACGCCGAAGGCGAAGACGATGACGATATTATCATGGCGGGCGCTTAGGAGAACTTGGAAAGCTGGAACAAAGCTTTTGGCGTTTGGGAGTTTTGAAAGCGCGAAATTCCCTTGTAGCGTTTTTGTGTCATGACCTGTATCCTTTTGAGGTCACTTTTACTCTTCCTCTTCTTCTCACATGTGTACTCTTGTTACACTTTTGCTCCCTGTCAACACTTTCGAGATTGTTGCATAGTAGGCAACGAAACGACAATAAGACACACACAGCGCATCCGCAAAAGCTGATGCAACCTAATAGCAAACAAATTCTCCCAACATAGCCGTAATCACATCTTCACTTCGCATTTTAAAATTGAGTTCCCAGCCCTCGCATTGACACTCTCGTCCCGCCGCCCCGGGTCTTGGACACGTCGTTGTTGCATCGTCCCGCAACCCCTGTCCATGCACGCACGTGACGCTATTTACCGCTTCAAGCAATTTTGTTGTTTTTCCGTGGATTGCAGATTGCGGATGGGGCTTGGGTGCACGGATGTTTTGGGGCTGGTTGGGATGGCACGGCATAAGGACCGGTGGGGTGGATGCGGGAGAAAAGGTGAGGCGAGGGGGTGCAGGTCGGCAGTGGGAATGATGGGAGGTGTGCTTGGCGGCAATAACTGCTGAAAGGTGCGAAGGTCAGGTAGGTTACTTTGGATTTAATCGAATGGACGCAGTGCTGCATGACATTAAAGGCAATGTCACAGGTTCCTCGATATGAGGGACGTGGGTATCAATGGAGACAGTTTCTTCTTGTTTAGATTCGAATCCCTAGGCCCGGTGCAGAGTAGCTGATGCGAGCGATAATAAGTCGTGCCGTTCAGGTTTGCCCAGATCTCGGGAGGCCCCCGAGGTCGGGCACTGGGCATGGACGGATCGTTGCGTCTATGAAGGGGTTAACTCAGTCATAAAACACAGAGCTTTGGAATGGAAAGATTACATGTCATTTACGCCCTGTAGACAGCGCGCTTTATATGCTATCTTAGGCAGGTCCTCAACGATGAGGAAACCTTGGAATGTGAAAGGACAGGGGCATCTTATAGCCTAATGCTATACGCGAGATACTGCAGTTTAATGGAAAAGATAGCGATACTGCGTATATACGTAGGCTACCTCCTGTTGTACTTTATTCACTTCTCGTCGTAGATGAGAAGAGCCTATGGTACAGATCTTTGCAAACATTAGCTTGAATTCAGATTGCTTAACGGGTGGAGGAAATAAAAATGCTACATTTGCTCCCAACGTATCATCGAAACAAGCGATCATGATTTGATGTCCTACCTCTTCTCAGCACACCAATGCGAAAGTCGCGATGTATGACGTCGGTTGAGCAAGGGGCTAGCGGCACGCACTAAACTGTATTCGGCTCTAGCTTCGTAGGGCTGGGTGATTAGCGAATCCCACACCATGCCTCGAATTCACGACGGCGACATTAACAACACATAGATAATTCACAGCACGAAGGTATACTGTCCTTTCTTTTATTGCACTGAGTTGTACGCTGACTCTAGCCCCCAAAGCTTGATTTCACGTGCTTCACAACATGTCCGACCAGACAAGCATCCAAGTACTATGCCGCCGAGGAAGAGCAGCAAATGAAGAAGGTACGCAATTTATTTCACGCGCATGAGTTGATCGCTGGGGTCTTCATGGGTGTTGTGAAGGCTTTCAAAGTTGCAAACCGATTCTAACGCGATTGCAGGCGCGCAAGACGGCACACCCCACAAAATACCGCGAGTCGCTCGTCCCAGGAACAGTCTTAATCCTCCTCTCTGGCCGATTCCGTGGCAAGCGCGTCGTTCTCCTGCGCCAACTTGAGCAAGGTGTGCTCCTCATCACCGGCCCCTTCAAGTCCAACGGTGTCCCGCTCCGCCGCGTCAACCACCGCTATGTGATCGCCACATCCACCGTTGTCGATATCGCAGGCGTCGACAATGAGGTCGTCGAGCGTGTGAGCAAGGACGAGTACTGGGCGCGCGAGAAGACGGAGGGCAAGGGTGAAGACGACTTCTTCAAGGACGGCGAGACAACACCACAGAAGAAGGATACCGATCCCCAGCGGATAGAGGACCAGAAGAAGGTGGACAAGGCGCTCATGGCTACCATCAAGAAGATCCCAGATCTGGAGGCATACCTGGGAGCCAGCTTCAGCCTGAGGGGTAATGAGCGACCGCACGAGATGGTCTTTTAAGTTTTAAGAACAGGCAGCTTTCGAATGATGCCCACCTGATGTGAGGCCACACGGACGAGCTCTAGATTCAAACGGCGTACAACCAACGAACCACGAAGTTCACGATACAATTCTACATGTAAATGATACCCAAAAATAAAATGCTCATGCTACTGAGCTGTGTTTAAACGACGTCGCGCGCACATTGCCTTTCTAGCGTGGCCCAAAACCGAGCTCTGGAAGCATTTCGTGCTGTTGTCAGGTACCATGAGAAGCTCCAGATTCGTCAAGTGCAAAATAAGTGCATGCGAGATGTCATCAAGGGTGCCTGAAGCTATACACAGGGTCCCGCCTCGCAATCAAAACCTGGCGATACCGTGCATAGTGTCAGGTTATTACCTATTGTATGCTTTCGGTCATAGCTGACAACCTGCAGTAATCCAAGTACACGTATTTGTAGTCGCATGTTACCCGTGGCTCCAATCACAAGTACTTCATGGTAGCATCGAGCTACCATGCGCACATTTCGACGAAGGTGCGGTTGCGCCTACATAGAGCTTGCAATGCTGTGCCACTTCAACCCGATGCTGTTTGGTTGTATTCCAGGCCCCATGGCATGCTCACAGCCCACCATCATTGCTATGGAGGCACCACAATATGCTTGAAACTTCGTGCGCAGGGTTGAAAAATTTAGGATTGAGGAGAATACAAGATGTAGCCTGCCCCGAACAAGAGCACCTTAGTTGCAACATCATTTCTTCATCAAAACACCAGTGTCACTACTGTCATGACACGTTCACAGCTTTCTAAACTACTTGGAGGCCCGAAAACCGGGCAAGCAACTGCATGGAAAACAGGCTTCCTACGACGCCTTCCCTGGCTTGCGATACTGGGTCTCGCGTCCACCCTGGTTGCCTCCGCTTTCATGGTGGGGATCCTAACCTCCTCAAATGACTCTCCCATCCACTCTTGGGCTTATCAGCCTACTGTACTCCTCGCCATAACTTATACCATCGCCAACATATGTTGC